GGTGCTCCGTAGACACGACGCAGACCACAAAGGAACCGCCAGTGCATGGACGGAGCTAGAGAGGTAGCATCTTTGCATACGGTGTGCGCAACGACGGTACGAATTGAAGGAAATCATACCCTTCGATCCTAGTTCAAAGACGTAGCTTACGACTACCAGCTAAGTTATGTGTGTTAATCCCACAGTCCGCTGATGTACGGGAAACCAGTGCAACTACGGTACACAACCACGCATCCTCCCACCGACACCGGTCTCTGGTTTTCCTTCCTGGCCCGGTCGGCCGGCGGGCGGCCGTCTGTTCCGGTAACCCCGGGGTCAGGGGCGGTAGGTACCCGGGACCGCTGCGGAGCGCGTCACTTCCGACAGCATCCTGTCTATCGAACGGAGGGGTGGAGTCCTGTCACTCAGCGTCCGCCGGCTGGCTGTGATGCGGTGTGTGGGTGTGCGTTCGCTAGACAACCGCGAACGTCGCTTCCGAGACGGCCGATAGTGAAGTTCGAAGCTTCCGGATGTATGCGGGAAGTGGTAATGAGTGAGAGCGATAGGTCGATGAATGTATCAGGAAGTGGGATTTAAACTGATGATGCATATTGCACAAGCCAGTCGATGGCATGCACTGTTTGACTATCTTATCAGCTCACTGCCGTTGATAGTGGTTTAAAAACCGGATGATAGCTACTTTCTGATTGATAAGTGTGGGCGACAATCTTCTATCACTGGATACGGAAACGTCGCGCAAACGTCACACAGTGAATCACTGCTGATGGCCTGCCTCTCCCTGAACCGCGACCAATAATCTCCGTTGATGCCGGATGCAGTGTGGTATGACATCACCTGTGTGACATCACCCGTATGACGTCATCACGCGAGCTCTGTGACATTTCTGCGGAGTTGAGTGGCGATTGGACCGGATTGAGCTTAGCAGTCTGCCTCGCCGTACTGAGATAGGAGATGGGAGTCACGTCCGATCTATACCTCAGGATGGCGTAATGTCACTGCCGGACATTGCTAACCAGCGGTCATCAAACGTGTTTAGAGAACTATTACAATGAAAGCTGCACGGGAGTGTTCTTCGTGGCGAAAATGCAGCTTCGTGAATTTTCTCCCGGCGCCCGAGAAACTGACGAATGGGTCTTTCAGTTGGATAATTGTGATTTGTGAACGCTTTCTTCCTTCGGCTATTTGTATTGCATGCTGCAGGTGCCAGGTGGCTGAGAAAGCCGTCGCTTATCTGGAGTCCATCAAAGGTGTCGAGAGTAAATGCATGCCTTCCGTGTTGCAATCCATTACGGGAGGCGCACAGATTTTCACGTTATTCAAAATGAGAATTAATTATCCCATTTTGTAGCCACAAGTCACCTCAATCACACAATGAGCACATCAGTTAATCCTATCTTAATCACTTAACGAGTGATTTCGAATTTCTATTTGCACCTATGAGTCATCAATCCCGTCAACAACCAGACTCCCGAGTTACAGTCATCTCATGGGGAAACGACGACCCCACCGATTCTGCTTGCAGTGTTCGGCACCCAGGTCAGACCGGTGTGACTTCAGTCGAGATGTGCTCAGTACGGACCATAGAGGCAGAGTCCGCGCCGGTCCGAACAGCCAATCACCGCGTGACCTCATGACCTGACCTGACCCGCCGGCCGCCACTACCAGCGACCACGCGCCTTTCACAATGTGTCCCAGGAAGACGAATTGGTGCGCCCGGCGACATCAGCTAATAGACTGTAGCGCTTTGGCTAGCTCTGATCGCTGCATTCACTAATGGACCGTGACGTCTCACAAAATCTGTAACGCGGTCGTTATGAGCTAAAATGGGCGAGCTGAACTGAGCCAGCTTATTTGCGGTATCCGTGGGCGACTTGCGAAATGAAGATGTGCCAACGCCAGGGACAAAATGAAGTGCTTTATAAGTATGGGGGCCATGTGGGCAGAGCACGATTCAGGCAGCAGCTGCTTATCCACAAAATGACTGAGTAGCGAATACATCATTGCGTGGTAAAATAAATAGAGGTGCTGCGCATCGCCGAAAAGCCATGTGTCAGCTTTACGTGTTTGTTTTGTCATAAATTATCGAAACTATTAAAATCTTCATTCCGGGTCATTATTGTCCCGCAGGAAAGCTTTGAACATACAAACGATGCTCATGAGAGCAAATGATGGCTTTAATTTTACCTAAACGTTTTCTCTGAAACAATCATCGCTCATCTCGCCTATCATTCAATCCCTCATACCCCGCCAACCGCTACACGCTCCAACGGTACTCGCCACCCGAAGAACAGTTGCGCGAAAATATGCGCCCATCGGCGACATTAAAAAACATGACCTCGTCGAATATTTGCACAAATTTAGGAACCACTTGTCTGTCGCAGCTGGAAGCTCTGGACCGTTGTCTTCACACTGAGGAGGCACGTGAATATTCGCTCTGATCGCTTATGTCCCTTAGATAAGTTTGCCTCGCGACTGGGATGTGTTTCACTCTAGCTTGCCACTCCTGTGCTGACTAGGTTAGTGCTCACTCTCTACGTAGCATTGATTCTCAAGCGACATCCCCTGTCACCACTGACCACACCTCGGCACCGCTCCCTACTATATCCGAGGAGGTCCACTTCTGAAGCGTGAGCGGAGCGGCAGGAGCGCCGATTTGGGCCGGTCGCTGTCCGGTGTTGGCCCACCTGCCGTCACCGTTCGGCAGCGTTCGGCTCTGTTCGGCTGCGCCCAGCTCTGGCTGCTCCAGTTTCGCGGCCGACACCCGGGACTCGGCTACGCGTCAGCGTGAAGAGGTTCATGAGAACGAGAGGACGTCGGTGTAAAATGGATTCATTGAGCTCAGTGTTACGTTTATTTCCTAGATTGGTAAGAAACACGGCATTTTTCCGCTTTGCATACTTGTGCTTCTGTTTGTTCCTGTCCGTTTTTGCTCGTCAGTCGCCATTCTTTCCTATCGTCTCCGTCTCGCCACATTTCCATCAATCTATCCTCAATGCTCATTACCGTCTCATCTCTTCCCACCCTTGTCCTTCCGTCTCCGTCCTTCTCCGTCACATCTCAGTCCTTCCCCTTCCGCTCTCGTCCACTATAGTCCTGCTCGTATCGTGCATTCTATTCCATGCCGCCCGGACACCCATTCCCGCCCGTCCCAGTCTGTCCCCGCCACGGCGGCAGCTGCAGTATCGGCCAGCGCGGCCTTGGCTCCGGCGTGTGTGCCGTGCGAACCGCCGGCCACCAGCGGTTTATCACGCCCTCGCTCCGCTGGTTTTGACGGCGGCAGCGCCATGGAGGCGGCCCGAAAATCGATGACGGCTGACTATAAACGATGGCGTCTGATGACGATGTTTGGAAAGTCTGCGGACCGCCGCCGACTGGGTATCGGTCGCAGGTGCGCGGACCAGCGTGGTCCGATCCCATGGGAAGTGAGATCTGTCCCTGCCCTGGAATTTACCTGTTCGGGGTATGAGAGGCTGGTGTAAGACGCGGGACACGGAATTCTACTAGAGCGTGACGTATGGCAATGGTTTGGCAGAAATGACGTGTGTTCCGGTCAAGATATTGGGAAATGCGTACTCGTAATCACATTCGTGCTGGTATGTCCGCACGAGGAATTCCTTTGAGCTTGCAGCTTCTGACCCACTACATTACATGCATTTCACTGTTATATTCTTATGAACAGGAGCTGAAAAATAATTACTAGAATGGTTTCCTAGCTCAGAAACCACACCAAAACTAGTTTCGGCGAGTCCGGTTTACAACGGTAGCCAAGTGTTCCATTTACACCGTGCATGACCCACTGACATCTCCAGAGAAAATCCGACCACCGGTCTACGATATCTGGCTGTACGCGGAAACAGAACCGGCCGCCCAGGTTGCAGTGGCCACTGCAACTCATGATGCATTTACCGGCTTATTTTCTACGAGTCAGTAGACCGGCTGCTGCGAGGCTGTTACATGGCACGCGTTTCCTAGAACACGATAAAGAACTGGTCATGGGATACCAACCTGGGTCGTGCAAACTGTGTGCCTGGGATACCTGCTTAATAAATACCGATTGCACTTTGCAGATGAACATGGTGTTACTAAAATCTGCAACGGGAGAGGACAAAGACCTCGCTCAGTTTCAATGCACTCAATTTTTACTCTACTCCTTCCCTCTATACGTGCACCGTGTTTACTCGAAGGCTGTTGCACACAGAGAGAAAGACATCGCTACTGGATTAGTCTGTGACGTGGTTGTGAGAATGTCTGTCTCTGTGCTGCCTGTGACCGTCTGGTACCCACGCCTGTCTGAAAGATAACTGCCTGGTTCCCTTACCAGTCACCGGACATACCTATTGAACATACCGGACTAGCGCCGGGCCACCATCGAGCGCAGTAAAGCCACGACCTCTGTAGACGCTCATGACCGAGGGGTCGCGTGACCACGGCGCCGGGTCAGCCGACCACATAGCGGGGTCGCTCACCGGCTGCGCCATCGCCACCGTCTGCAGCGGTGGCCCGTGTGGTAGCGCAGACACTGACCGGCGCAGCGGTCGACCGCAGAGCAGAGCGTCAGCTGCGTTCTGCATGCAAAGAGCCCTGTGCGGCGGTGGATAACGGCGCACGGTGCGCGATTCGCCGCGGCCTGTAGCGCGATTCGGGGTTACCTCGGCGGCTCGGCGGAGGCTCGGCGCTCGGCGGTGACGGTGACGGCGCTGGCGGTCGCCACTGCGGTCGAGTGGCGTCTGTTTTTGGCTGCTCGCCGTGTCGGATCCGCAGGTCGGAGACGTGCTCGCCTGGCACGGCGCCGGACGCGGGGGCGGTGAAAAGTCATCGGTGGGTCAGCGTGCCGGCCGGTGGCGGACGCGGACCACGGGCCGCGGCCGGACAGGGCAGCCGGTCCGGTCCGGCGGCCGGCGGCGCCGCTAGGAATGCCAGAAGAGCCACCGGCCGCCGGCGTGGCCCACTCTCTCCAGCTGGATGGATTCGAGACACGAGATTATGCAGCGTGCACAAGCGGCTGATTTGCAGCTGTATTGGGTCGATGGCATGCAGCTTTTTTGGGTCGGTACAGAGTGCCGACGAGCACTGCTGGGGTAGACGGGACACTAAAACGGACAGATTACTGCGGTGCTCGTGACTGCTGAAGCTAATGATTTATAAGAACAGGGGACTTGACGTGTAAGATGGGGCTTGACAATGTTTGTCGCGATTATCACCGTGCTCGCGATGGGCACTCGCGGCATCACATGCAACGTTCCTAGCATGTGCCGCTTTAAGCGCTTATCGTTCCAGTGAACACAACGGCACATTCTTGTCTATCGCTAACTGCTAAGCCGCCTCGCTGTTTTGACCAGCCGCACCCAGGGCTGCAGCACTCAGTCACACCTCTGTACAGCATCCTCACAGAAGGTCACCTTCCTGGGATCCAGCGTCTTGCGCTTCATGTCGGCACACGTCTCGGCCATGCCCTCAGCTCTCGCCCGCTGCTGCTCCTTCTCCGCCTGAGCCCGCTGCTTCTGCTCTAGATACTGGTCCACGGGTGATCGGTAGCCAGGCTGGTTCATGTCCGGCATTTGCGAGACCTGCACCACCTCTAGGCCCGGTCCCGGCGAGGCAGACCTGGCACGGCCCTCACGCTCGTCTCGCTCGTCGCTGGCGGCTCCCTCCTCAGTGGTGCACACGGGCTGAGCCGTCGGGTTTGCCTGGAAGAATTGTCTCAGGCTGGCGATGGTACCCTCCAGGCCCACCGGGTTCGCCTCGAGGAACTTTAACACGAATTGGTCGGCGTTGACGATCTGGAAGCGGTGATTGTAGATCTGGAGCGTAGCCCCGATGCAGAAGTCTCGGAGTGTGAAGTAGACTGGGTGCTCCTTGGTGCTCTCTGGCTTGTCAACGCGTCGCCGGTGCAGGAACTTGCCTCCGATGACGCCAGAGTTGCGCAGCACGCGCTCGTAGATGGAGATGGTGTCGTCGGAGGGATAGTAGGAAATGATGAACCTCCTCTCGCGGTGGTACGGCTTCTGTGACTCCAGCACGGCTTCGAAGCGGAGGATGATTCCATCGTTCTCCAGGTACTTCATGTAGTCTTTCGCTGGCGTCTTTAGCACGAGTGGCTCTGTGATGGGCGGCGGCTTGGCGACCCTCTTCTCGAGTCCCTGGGCACGTCGGGTGACATCGATCGGCGTGAAGTCCGTCATCTGGTACTGCTCACGGTAGTAGTTCCTGGTGAACTCGTCGCAGTCGTAGATGAGGAAGCGGCTGTTGTAGATGCAGACCGTCTCGCCGATCTTGAGGTCGGTGTCCAGGAACCAGACCTTCACCTCTTTGGGTGACACCTCGAGGCTGATTGAGGGGAACGTCAGCGAGTGCTCCAGCTTCTTGGGCACCCTCTGCCGCCGGAGGAAGCACGGGAACGGGTCGCGGCCGTCATTCTTCGTGTGCACCTCCAGGATCTCGATTGTATCATCGGCTAAGTAGTATAACAAGACGTACTTGCGAAGCTCCCCGTACAGCTCGTCGCGGTCGTCACGCACCACGAAGAAGCGCAGCACCTGGCGATCCATGTGCAGGAACTGTCGCAGCTTGTCCCACTGCGACGGCGTGACGTAAGAGTGCGGTCTCAGACGCATCTTGCGGTCGTGGATGTACGGGTCGTCAGGCGTGGAGGGCTCAGCCTCACGCAGATCGATCCCCTCGCTCTCGTACAGCTGACGGGTGAACGGATCACAGTCGTAGATGTGGTAGTAAATGCCGTAGAAGCAGACGTCGTCCTGCACGTCAAAGTCCTTCCAGTGGTAGTACTCCCCGGCATCGTTCTTGGGGACGCGATGCCTTCGTAGGAGTTTGCCCTGTGGAATGCCGGCGTTGTCCACAGCTGGCTCCATTATGCAAATGGTGTCGTCTTCCAAGAAGTATAAAATATGAACGAAACGTACGCGATACTTCTCCTCTTGTGAGTTAGGCGTGTTTTGTTTGAAGTAAGCCAGAAACTTGAGTACCTTCTTGTCGTATGCGACGTAAGACGGCACAAATCTGGCCTTGGGTCCCCGCTTGGATTTAGGATCCCCGTATGTTAGAATTGGGTCATGATGAGATAGCTCGTCGAGCATCCCTTCCAGGCCCGGTGCGGAGTCGGCGCATCCCAGTGGTCCTCCGTGACCTACGAAGTTGTAGCCGTTCTTAAATCCGCAGAGCTGGCTTCTGCCAAATCGCATCTTGGTTGGATCTTTTTCGGTAAATTGCAGCATTCTGAAACAAGATTATAGCTATAATAATAACTAAGCAAATTGGCAAATTGAGTCGTGATTGAAGTCGACAATTTTCTTATTGATGTTAGAACATCAAAGGCTGCACAAATAGCATGTGCTGTCGTCGGTCCCTTCGCTCAAAATCGCCGACATTCGCCATTTTTGTAATTTAAAAAGGAAACTTACGTTTCACGTGCTAATGTTATAAATGTCCTTCAAGCTTTATCTTGACATCGTGCTATTCAATATGGAATGACGGCAGTGTTACCGCACCTTTTGAGCGCGGACCAAGGGCGCGATATCGAACTATTATCAGGGTAGTGTATCCAACCTTTTTTCACGATGAACTTTTTCGATTTTCGAAGCAAATATAACCACCAAACAATATTTCATTTTGTATGGCTTCACTGAAATGGTAGCTGGAACCGGTATCCTAATATCCGACATCCAGCATCTGATACTTGCAATACGCCGGCGCTTCGTGGCAGGTAGTGGTCAGACAAAGCATTTAGAACCGCGTTTGCAAAACAACGACGTGAACAAATTGCTTGTAGTGCGAACCGTTGCAACATACCTTCCCAGCGTTGCGGCTGGAACGTACAGCCACCGTCTGTTGTTGGTCGGCCGTGTGTCTTCCCTGGAACGTCTGACAGGCCCCGGGCTGCAGTGGGAGTCCCTTCCGCTAGCCACCGTCTCCAGTCGCTCTACACCGTCTGCCGTCACCCCTGCCTGGCACCGAGCGTCGTCGGTACCCGACCCCGTCCGACGCACCTGTTTGGTCGATGTTCTAACGACTGCTCGGCGACGTCCGTCGGTCACAAGGCGCACCGACAAACATGGTTCGCTCGGTGTTCCCAGCTGTTGTCTGTTTGGTGACTAATGCCGGCCGATTCGCATCAGGCTAGTTTTATTGTACGTGTTCTGTTATAGAATTCTCAACCCCTGGGATCGACCGACTCGGACGTTCCTCTGAAGCGTGTTCGACCAATGGTTTCTCCACAGTCTGATGTTCCGTATCGGTGCTAAATGGTGAGCAGTAACTCAGCTGAAATGTTCCACCTGAACAGCCGACCGATGTTCAGTCGTAAACCGCAGAGCGGCGCGGCGCTCCCCAGCTGGGCTCGAGCCCACCGCTCCGGATGTCCGCTCCGGGCGGTGGTTTCTCTCTCGACAGACGAGCGCCGGCGACCGAGCCGCGGCCTAGATTCCGTCTCGGTCTCTGCACCATTGTTCGACGACCTCTGGCGCGTAGATTGCACCAGAGCTCTCCGGAGCAGCAGACGGCCTCCTCACACCACCCGGGCAGAAAATCGCTCTCCGGTGCAGCCGCCAACAATGGAATAATGAATGTGGAATGTCGGACACCGCTGTGCGTTGCAGTGCGGTGTGTAAGATTTGTGGTGCGCCAGAAGATAGACGGTGGGGATGGGAAGTTGACCTCCACGTGCATCGGGATGAGAAATGCGTGTTGTTCGGCGCTTGTGGTCGCTACCTTTTTGTTTTTGCCCCTTGCTATATATGATGCTACTGAGACAATTCAGTCGCCCGGACTATATATGCTTCGTTGCAACTCCATTGTGATAAAGATGAACTGGCATCGCTCGCCGGTCACTGCAGTCGCCTTCCAAATCTCGCGTGCTCAGGCCACAGCCATCAGCGATTTTACCGTTATAGCTATGATAAAGAATGTCTCTCGGACCGGTCAGGCCCTGGGTGGGTCTCAGGACCGCGGAGACGTCTCGCCACGGAGCCAAGATCGTATCACCACAGACACCGCTCATCCGCCCATGTCCGAATCCATTTGTGACCATTCCCTGATAGGTATGTGACACTTCCAAATTAAGGTCGGTCACGCTGAAAAATCCGTTTGACAGGAGCTCTAACACTCCGCTGTGCCAGCGCGAGGAGTCACAATCACGCAGTCACGTTTTGCAACAGCTGAGTGGGTCTCAGACCGCCAGTTAACCCCGCTGACACAGAAACGGTCGTGGACGCCGCGCGACGAGAGGTAGCGCTCTGGCGTAATGCAGTAATCCCACGAAACACAGGCCCTGGGTCATGGGTCACGGGTGCCGCGGCGGTGGGGCACAGAGCCGTAACGGCAGCCTCGCCGCGTGCATCGTGAAACGCGCCGGGAAGCCGGGCGCTCGGCAGTGCGCCTTTCTCGGCTATAATTGCTTCGATTGACTGTCGGCGCGACCGGTAGCGGGGCGAAAAATCACTTCCGTGTGTCGTTACTTCACCAATTACGCAGGTGCTGTTCATGTTATTGGGTGTCGGATTAATGGTGCTGATTAAATGTTGTCAGCGTTTGGGGCTCCCGGGTCCCCGTCGTGGCGTGCTCCGCGCTCGAATCGGAGCCCGGTGAAAGTGTGATTTGTATCGTACGATGAACCGAGCCTAAAGAGCAGTTTTTTCCAGCAGTTCGCTAGCTGTTGTAGTGTAAAATTGATATAACGAATCCTGTCCTTCGGTTTCGTATGTGTAATCCGATTACATGATGCGATTGGGGAACTGATTAGAGTTATTCCCGTAATCGCCTTTTCTTTCACTCTTTCTCTCAGATTCCTATTTTGTTTCTACTCCTCGCTGTAGTTAATGTATGTATGCTTCCACATTTATCCTCCATATCGCCGGCCCGTATTACTCACCATCCCATCATTGCGTTCAATTTTCTCCGACTCTGGTGTGTGTTTCCGTCCCTGACCGTGTACCTTTTTTCTGTTGCAGGGCTCTGACCCCCGCGCCGCCACGTGCCGGGGCAAGCTCCAGCACAAGCGGTCCAAGCTGAACCAGGACATCAACAAACACCTGCTGCTGCGCCAGGGAGCCGAAAACCTGCTCAGGTACGCGAACCGCTCTTGGCTTCTCTAACACTGAATGGCATCGATACTCGCCATCGATTTCTTTAGATGGGCGGCATCGGTACTCGACATAAGTTAGATGAAATTGATAGTGTTGTTAATTTCAAGAGAAATAGTGCAATGTCCGTTGTTCTCAGCTGAGATGGAAGGAGAGGTTACATTGCTTTCTGGGGATACTGGATCAGCTCTGTCTCTCGAGCAACTCGTGCTCTCAGTCATGTCAATGACTTGGCTCCATTTGAGTCGACGACCACGATTACCTAAAAGATTGGTATCTAAAGATGAGATAGAACAGCATGGATATTGTAAGACATATTTTCAAGCAGAAAGGCGTCGATTAGATTGCACCGACATGTCCTTAAATGTGTCCAGATCACGCATCATGTAAAAGCAACATTTTCTTTGAATTATCTCCCAACTGGCTTTGTGTTTGAACTAATTTATCAGCCACACTGATCTACCTCGCCCTCTCTGTGTGATCCAGAGCCGCGGAGAATAAGAAGGTTCGCCAGGCGGTGGCTCTGGAGCTGAGTTTTGTCACCTCCAACCTGCAGTACCTTCGAGAAGAGCTGTCAGATCTGAACAGCTCCGTCGAGATCTACCAAGGCCAGGACAACAGGTAAGCCATGAGTCACGGCTCGCTCTGGAACGGAGCTGCTGGAATTAGGCCGTAGTGGATTGGCGGAGACGCTGTAGTAGATCGACCCTTCTTGCTAAACGGGAAGAGAGATCTGAGGGAGTTGTTATGTACATGAGTTGTACTATGAGTTGATGGTACAACTCATGAGTTGATGGTACTATGAGTTGATGGTACGCATGTGCCTTTTTAATCTTTTTTTTTTGCATGGTCTGAATGCACGTCATATGCTAATTCCTTCCAAGAATCGATGAAATCTCGCTGTAACGGGGCCCTTGGTCGCCTCTTTCATTGTCTCGGAATGGCGCAGTCTCACTTGATCCGGAACTGCCAGGGCATTTAAAACCCTTTTTTAGCCTGTTGATTCATCTTACATCGTTTGCTAAAGCTATTGTTTACTAACGTGCCCAAGTGCCGTTTGTTGTTAGCTGCTCATAGTAGATTTGTAGATTGGTATTAGCGCCGTCTTCACGAAAAAGCATGAATTACTTCTGAAAGTGCGGGTCTTTTGATGCACGGACCAGTCACAGTACTTATCGTTCGGTTTACTATCATGTAAGGCACGAACCCGATTTGGAAGCACATCGCATGTCCAATAAACGTAAATCTTCCATAATTGATGAATTTTGTTGGCTTGATTTACGGTTGGTATCTCATCTCACGCTCAAGCAGCACATTATTTACGAGATTATGATGATAGGCACGACTAGGTGATAATCTGCTTTTCCTTTTACGCATTATATAGTGGAGTCGTTTCATTTATTTCGGGTGAAATCACGTTCGGTGCTTCAACCATAATGTTACCGAATGTTTTGTTGACGGCTGATATGAATTAATCTAAGACTTCTTTTTCTATAAACAGATGTGTTGTTTTTTATTCATTTTACAGCCCGTCTGATGTGCTTTTGTTTTCTTTTTTTTCAGTGGAACACCGTACATTCCTATGATTCCGTTTGGACTGAAGGAGACGAAATACATCGACTTCGGAGACGCTTTCAAGGTACGAATCGATACACCTTCTAACACCTATTGTAACCCCTCATCCATGATTTCACGTCCAAGGCTTACCGCCACCTCATGGTATAAGCCTCATCAATATGTTGATCGCCTTGAGCCGCTTTTTATTGGCGACCAGGCGTTCTCGGAAAGGCCGCTCCCCGCTGTGGTCTTCTCAGAAATGTCGGCTTGTCATGACAGGCATCCGTGTACAATCTGCTTAAGTGACAGCATGGGCTTTTTCGGGAATGCGTTAAGCCGTGGGATCTTTTTTCGAGTGATAAATGAACCTCTGGTGTTTTATACTAAGTGTTGATTTGGTGTTATTTCGGTATGTCAACGTACAAATTGTATGATTTCTTCCAAAAGTGTTGTATAGATGAAACACTTAATTTGTTTATAATTTGTGTTCAAATTTCGTACAGGCTTGAATGATGCCTAGTATACTGTCATAACACAGCTGAAGTTCGTGAGGACTGAGACTGATAAAGCATGCAGATTGCAGATGCTTCCATCCTATCCTGTCACTGCCCTTGTATCTTTTATCAATGCTGATACATTTCCTCGGTTTTCTGTCCGAATTCGCGGGCCCGAGCCGCTCCTGGTCACAGCTCAGGTTATTATACTGCACCAACTGGACCTAGTGCTATATGAGGAACGCACGTGAGCGATCCTGGCTGGGCACGGTCATTATCGATCGATCCATCACGGACCTCCCCGGACTGCGAGATCCATGGATCGCCTTAGGTCACGTGACTGAGACAGATCGGATCTCATTAGGAGTGAATGGAGCACGACGCCGCTCGTCCAAAGCGCCCATTTCCACCGTGTTGGAAAGAAAGGCAACTTCCGGGGGCGGGTTCTTTCCCATGTGTGATTCAATGGGCTTGATAGCGTGTTTGTTGACTGAGTGGAGTTTTTGTTGGGGAGAAATTCTGCTCATGTTATGTCGCAACCGTGGTGACAGTTACACAATGAGCTTTCGATACGTTTCAGGACTTCATTCTCGAGCACTACAGTGAAGATGCTGAGAAATATATCGGCTCCATTCAGGATTTCACCGACATTCGACAGGTAAGTGGCTACCGAAGGCTCTATTTCGATAACTCAGGAATCACGTTCGTGCGTGTGGGAAGAACTCATTGCCAAACATTCCTGTAAAACTAACCATGGCTTATCGGCATAAAGCAAAGTAATAGCTTGCCGAAGTTATTTTAAGTGTAACTAGGCACACAGCGTTCGAGATTTTCCCTCATGTAAAACACGCTCGTCGTCGCATGCGGGAGGGAAAGCCTCACGACGTTGCAGCGACACTGGGGGACTTTCGGCACGAACTCCGGAGTTTTACCATGAGGATAGCCGAACGGAGTGTCTCTCCGACTGGACCTGCTGCGTTCCGGTACCGTTCCGACCCGTGTCGTGACGGGACGTTCGGTAACGTGACACTGTTGTGACGTGACGTGACGACTGGCATGACGTGACACAGTCCTCCCGACTCTCACTGGGACCGGCGGACGGTGAGTTCTTCCCCCATACCGCACCGTCCCACAAAGGCATGACTCACCCCCCTAACCGCTGGACATAGGCTGCGGACCGAGCGGAAGTATAGGCCCTTCCGCCGCTCGGCGTCTAGCGTTCCCTCTGTACTGCCCCGCCTCTACAGACGAGGCTCCGGACCGCCGCTGCTGTCACCGTTATACAAATCAACCTCCAGGCCGACGGCTAGGAAGTAATTGTCGACGAAATTACGTCCACGGGGTCGCACGCACTCGCTAGTGTTTGCTGGCTTGTTTGACGGCTTTCGCGAGCCGGCTTCTGGCTAGGTCGATGTTGACCAATCTGTCTCGGGTCCCATGTTGGGTCCTGTTGTTGGCCGTTCGGTGACCTGTATGTAAATGCGGCCGATAACCTCGTGGCCGGCTGGGCCGTTTTCCAAAAGATCGGTCACTGGCACCGAGTCCAGTTCTGAGACATTCGGCGGACGAAGGACGACTCGAGTCAAAACGAGCCTCCGCGGGCCGGCTAGAGTCTCCCTGGAGAGTCACGCAGCTCGTGAGATATGACGGGACGTGCGGCACGATCCCGAGTCGAGATGTGCCGGTCAGACCTGTCACACCATGTCACGCCGTGTTACTCGTGACGGGAGGCTCTGCAATAGTCGGCCGGCCGGCGGGAAAGCCAGCCCTTCCCACGACTCTAGATGCTCTGTTTGTCCGCTATTTCCTAGTGCTGCTCGTAAATAAGACCTTCAAGGACAATTAGCTACGATGAGGAAATAGTGGCCCACGATTTCACGCTATCTGTGATCATATCTTACACGGAAGGTCCTCGCATTGCTCCATGCTGAGACGTAATGGTTTCGATAATCGATTCCATCTATCGGGATTTCTGATTTGTGATTGACAGTCTTCCATCTTAGAGGAACGTGCTTCGGGCTAGCCATTACGGCACGAATTGCCTCAATAGTTACGGAGGCTGCCTGATGATATTGGTGTTAACGATTTGACGCAGCTGAGATATTGGTGTTAATGATCTGACGCGGCCTCGGGCAAATGATTATTCATGCCAACGCGTATGCCGTAAAGGAAGAGTTTGGCGCTTGGTCTATTTAATTGTGTTGGTGATTTGCTAACAATACGGGTACCAAAGTTAGTTTCTATTTGAATTGAAAAAAAAGTTTTACCATGTCTGAGTGTTTAGCCTCTTGCTAAGACATTTCGATCTAGCGCAGCGTTTCGTCGCGCCCTTGCATGCTGGTTTTCAAAGTGTTCATGCGTCACTATTACGTGTCAACGTGTAAGGTGCATTATGATGTTTATTATCACTTTATAGCCTCACCATAGACCGCTTCTAATGCTGTGTTCAAGTCTAGCTGCACGATAAAAGGTCATGACAAAAACAATTGTTTCAAAAGGTACACAATTACCTCGGGAACACTACTAATTATACGGTTTTACACCGATCATTTCCATCGACAACAAGAGTCCTTTCCCATGTAACATGGTTTTTGTTTTGCTTACCTCTGTTATTATCTTAGCCACACCACTTTATGTGCTCATTAACCCCATATTCATTGACTCTGTGTGACATCAAATCTATTCTGCCCGCAGGCGATGCGCACCCCTCAGAGGAACCAGAACGGCCTAGCTCTGCTGTTTGAGTATTACAACCAGCTCTACTTCATCGAGAGACGCTTCTTTCCACCGGATCGCAGCCTCGGCATCCACTTCGAATGGTGAGTACACGGTGCAAGCTGCACTTTTCGGACGGCGTGAATAAGATCTGCAGGATGCATCTACCCTCTCAATAGCTAAAGGCTGTGTTTGCCACTCGCTAGAAGCAGGCATGGATGCTGTGAATGGTCCGGTCACGACTAATTGAAACATGCTTACGTTCAACATGAAGCGTCATGAATGCCCACATTCCACCTAGTCACGTACTGGCATGGCCTTGCATACCGACATACCGGAATCCGGGTCTCGAAGGGCTGAATATGATTTAGAAGTGTTCGACAGTCGACATACCTGACACTGGTGGCATGGGAACACACCCTGTTTCACCGCCCCTATACCATGCCTATCGCCCAATAGCCTCTTCACGTCACCCTTACCATGGCCTCTCTATTCGACTGCGCCTGTCGGCGTCGTGGCATCTCCATGCCGCGGCCTCGCCTGTCCTGGCAGACCCTCCACATTCTCAGTTCGAGTGGCGAATGTTATAGCCGCGGAGTCGGCGTCATGCCTCGCTCCGCCCTGCGCCGGGCGTCTGCGAGCATGGCCTTGGCGTGCACTCCAGGCTGTAATTAGCTGTTGAGCGGCACTCCTGGTCTAACGAACGCCGCACCGCGCTGCACCACCCCTCCCACACGCGGACGTCGACCCCGCGAAGGGCGGACAGGGGCGGGTTTTCTCGTGGTGTGGGGTTTCGACAACCCACCGCAGCCACGAGTTTTTACTCCACTACCGAGCAACGCACAACCGTGACCGCTCGGCTTGGCTTTCATCGCATCCTCTGTCTGGCCTTTGACCCGTGACTCTCGCTGTGTGTAGGCTCTTCCCGCGCCTCCCCACCGCTCTATCCTCTCCCACCGCCATGCTACTTTGCAATGCGGCGTCCCCTCCGCTTTAACCCTTACCTGTTTCTACACACTTCCGGCCGCCGTATATACGACAGCTGCAGGGCGCCGGAGGGTTCCGTTCGTGACTCGAACACCCAACGGCCGTGAACCGTGTGACCGTGAGTGGGACCGGAGCAGCTGCTGTCTGCCGCCGGGAGACTCGTGCCGGCAGACCGTCCCCACCGGCCACCCCTGTCAGATCCGATCGGCTGCCCTTGCTGCACCTGCACTGTATTCGAGCAGCAACGGCCGGCAGCGAGGGGCGGCTTGTAGAGGTCGAGCGGCAAGCGGCAGCAAAAGGAAGTACGGTTTCTCGGAATGCCATGAAGACCGTCGGCGACTGGACACTATCGCGGCCCCAGCGACTCAAAAATGTCGCGGTCTCAGACCAATCCGATCAGGAAGAGACACCCAGTGATTAGAGGAGGGGTGTTCGTCACCAGACTGTGATACTGGAAAGTGTTGGACCGGTTTCACTTTTCATGCTGGGTGACTGGTCTGAGTGGCGGTGGGATGCCGCTGGTAGGTGCCCTGTCACTCGTCACCGTTCGCCGGGCGGTGGGCGGTGACGCTGGGAGGTGGGCAGGGGGGGGGGGGCGGTGGACGGTTCTGTCACCCGCCAGGACTGTCTAGGAACGGGGTGGTGTTTCTCACATGTGCCTAATTGCAGTCTCTGGCCTTCCTCTCGCTCTCGTCAGTGATACCGGTTAATGTCGCAGGACGAAATACTCTGTATCCAATTGAAGTCCATCGAACCCTTTAAGCATATACAGGGTGTCCCAAAAGAAAGGTCATCATTTGTTTTGGCCACACCGCTAAAAATACGCGATGGATAGAAATAAATAGGACATCATATGAAAGAGCATTTTATAAAATTTTATTCTGATATACATATGAGTCAATACATTGGCTCGTAGCCCCACATTTGCTGCTTTTCTACATGGCTACCATTTCGAGCCGCGTGCACGAATAGACTGCGTTTTACTTCCTCCACTATTCTGGAGCGATTCTCTGGTGAGATGCCGCTTATGTTTGCTCGGAGGGATCATCCTTTAGTTCTTCCCGGCTCGTTGGGTTGTCCTAAAAGACAACCTTTCCGTTGTGTACCCAGAGAATAAAAATATGAAGGTGTAACGTCAGGTGACCGCGGAGGCCATTCAATGGCGTTGCCCTGACTGAAAATTACGCGATCTCACATCCACTCTCGGAGACAATGCATAATCTTCAGGACGGTGCAAGCATAGTCTCCATCCTGCTGAAACCACTGCTGGTTGATGGTGTCGGTACAGCTGCGTTGCGACGAGCGGAAGAACCACTGGGAGGACTCTCGGCCACCTCTCTTGATTTATTTTCACCCGATTCCTGCTGTCGTCCTCAGGACCTCGAAGCACAGGTGCCTAAGTATACATGCCCTGTGCGTACATTATACCTTTTTTCTGACATTTTACCGGTTGAGGCGAAACTATGCATGAGTTCAGAGATAGGGCGAGCTGATAGGGTCTGCTTAGGGCCGAAAACTGGGCGGTATTTACCCTTTGTTTTAATGACGGACCCTCTCTAAGAGTTGAATTTCGACCTTCTCAGTTTTATGCCTACTGCTCGGTGTAGTTATGATCAAAAATGGTTTAAGCATGCAAGAAAATAATTTTATGGATGTACCTTGCACGTGTTAAAATTGGAAGTGATTCGGACTCTTACTTCTCGAGATATTTAAGTTTTAAATAATGACCTTACTTTTGGGACACCCAGTATAAATTAAAGAACATCGTCGGTCTGAGGCCAGTGACCTTCTGTGACCGACCAGTGACCCATGGACCTTTCCTTGTTGCCCACGGTGACCCGATGTCTCTCCATGGTCACAACGCTCACGTCTCACCACCGAGCGACGTGATTCGGTCACATTTCCATGACCAGTTCGTTGCCATGCTACCTTCCACCGCACGCTGTGTCACCCTCACTTGTTCAGTGAGATTCATGGACTGATATTTGGCCAGTTGCAATTCTAACAGGGGACTGCAATTTGCAAGCTTCAACTGTGGTTCTTACTAAGCTTGCAGCTGCCAAGGTCTGTCTCAGTCATGTCCGTGTGTTATCTGATCAGAGCTAAGTGGCTAGTGGTTAATGGACTCCACTTCCTCCACTATGCACAATAGTGAGCGGTGAAAAGTACTTCGATAGAACGTGCATACAATATTGCCGAGATCCGGATCCACATCGTATGGCAAATATGAAGGTGTAAAATACTCTCAGGGAAAGCCGCAGACTGGCCGTTTTTCTGTGCTTCCCACACAGTCCCCACTCGAATCGTGACCTCATGGATCTCGTTTTTGCGCCCACCGTTCGACGCTCCCGATATGGATGTTTTTTGCGGACATGTTTGAGCGTTTCGCCGCCACGTTGCAGGCCGGGTGGCGGCCCGGTCTGTGTCGGCAGCTGCCCCGTCCGTGCCCCTCACCACCTGCTGCCCGCTGCTGCTGCTACGGTCTCCCCACCGGCCGGCGGTCGTTAGTGGCGCTGGGTGTCGTTATGGCCACATCGCGTGCCGGAGGACGAGCCGATGTACCCGCAGCCCTCAGCGGCTGCAGCCCACGATCGCCGCCCCGGCCCGGGCCTCCGCCAGCCGCCTCCGCCAGCCGCCTCCAGCGGGGAAGGTTTCGACGAAAAGCAACAAAATCAGCCCGTTTTGGTATCTTGTTTGGTGGTTTTACAGGAGCTGTGCACGAAGAGCTCGCTGCAACAGAGGACATGTTCGGTTGACATTGGGAATAGGTTATTAGTAGCGGGAGCCATCGCATTGGTGGTAGATACCCGAAGCCGACGATGCTTCTGGTGATGGTGTATCGACATGTGTAACGTTGACGAGCGATCCGTCCCCTGTTGACGGACGACCCGTCTGAGTTCGCTCAGAACACACCCCGTTTTGTTGTCGGGTAGTCCGACACGCATCACTGATCACCACACCCCTCTGATGAGGCAGCTAACCAATGTTGACGGGTGACGGGTCTTGGACGGGTCCACGTTGACTGATGACCCGGCCGAGTCAGACTGTAGCCGGCTCCAGCAGACACGAACAGGTCTGAGGTGTCTGGCGACGCCGTCGTTCTCGGCGGCTCGGGGCTCGGATCGGTCGGAGCTGCCGCGGCTGACCCGATTTCACTTCCAGTCGGGCCGCTGACCGGCGCGGCGGGCTCCCAGTACACAGCTGTGCTGCGTAGGCACCTCTCCCGGACGGAACACGATCAGGACACTCGATAACGCAGGTGGATGGATATTCCTCCTCGCACGCACAGAGATTGCGTGTAATACAACACGCAGAGTACCGTATAATTGTCCTTATCTGGCGATCAGATATCTGCAGAGACCGGGGTGGTTAATTAATGCGGAGATATTCTACTAAATCCTCCTTTTGTCCAATTCCTGCAAGTTTTCTAGCTGCACTCTGCCTGAATCTCTGCAGGTATCTCAATCGGATTGCACCCACGAAATCTCGCTTCTCTGCAGTTGCACACTCGCCGCTAAGAGCGTACCTGCGCGGTGAATCACTTCGGCCGCCGAGACGTGATCCCCGTGATCCGTCTGATCCCGGATCCAGTCCCAGCGATTCAGTACCCATGCGGTGAACCCCGATCTCCAATCGGGGAGTCGCCCGAGCGGCTCGGCACAATGTTTACGGCCCATAGCTCCGGCGATCAGCCGTGACGGGGATTTGCATTCCTCGGCGCGAGTCTGTAGCCAGCGAGTTCTGTAAAGCCGTGTTGTTGGTTTCGTTGGGGAGGTACGGGCGGCAGGCAAGGGAGAGAGTGGCCTATGTGGACCGACAGACCCCCGGTCGAGCGGCGGACGGTGCAGCAGGGCCTCCCGGACCTCTGCAGTTACCTGGGTGGCCTTGGGCGCCGGACAGGGGCGGGCTAATGGGGGAGGGGGAGGGGTGCCTACGCTGGGCACTCGATGGGCGTGGGCTGTAACCCGAAACTAGTGACGGCTCGGTGAGCGAATCAACCAGGAATTTAGTGGGAAAGTGAGGACCGTGACCAATGACCATATGATGCTCGTCTATAAATGTCGATATGTGGGAGGCCAGAGCCCGAGCGAAAGGTACTCCAAATGCACGCAACCAAGTTTTTGGATGGCCCATTTTCGCCAAGCTAGTTTAACAAAGTGCTTTCTTGGAATTCTGCTTCAAAGGACTGATAGACTATCATTAAACATATATGTATGATTACGATTAGCATTTCAATGGCATTAAAGATAGATAGGTAGGTACCTACTTTTATTATAAGATCTATGATAGCATGGTATGGTTGTGACTCGTGGCTATAGGTATGCTTATTCGGCCCATGGACTTAATATGACCTCCCATGGGTTCGTGCTTGTCTAGCCTTTAAACCCATAAGCCTTTAATTGAACGTAGCCCATGCAACGACCCAATCCTCTTATGTGCCTATTGATGAGAAATGTTGGCGTCATCCTCCCTGACATCAGCATCGAAAATCCCTTCCCCTGGCTTCCGATAAGACTGTTAACCACAACTCGGTTTATTTTGACATCCAACAAATTCATAAGCCAACAATAACTCATAATTCCCCGCATAAGCTTCGCTGAATCGCTGGTTAACTACAGTTATCCCTATGCATAACAAATATGCTTCCCAATAGTGTCAGCCTTGTCCTATTTCTCCTTCCTTCCGCTCTCCGTCCCCAACGCCCCCCGACCCCTTCTCTGGCGACCCTTATCCCCTGTAGGCTTTCGATGCTGCCTGTCCCCTAGCCCATCTCACACCTCTGACTTTCTCTATATCCCCGCCGCTGTCATTTAGGTACTCCAACCCATCTCTGACCCGACACTTCTGTTATCCACAGGTACGACTCACTGACGGGCCTCCCCAGCTGTCAGCGTACAGTCGCCTTCGAGAAGGCCTCCGTGCTGTTCAACATGGCGGCTCTGTACAGTCAGTTGGCAGCTCGCCAGGAGCGAGGAACCCAGGAGGGTCTGGACAGCGCTGTGGACAGCTACCTGAGGGCAGCAGGAATCTATAGGTGAGGACTAGGGAACGGCTGGGCTGGGCGTGATGGGATGGCGATAACAGTGGTTTGAAGTCAGAGACGGAGATTAGCGCATTGATAATGCATTTGGCGAACAGTGTTGACCAACTGGTTGGGTAATGACTAACGTTTCTACACACCCGCATGTTATACAATATGAGTTCATGTTTTTGTTGAGGTGTATTTGTTGAAGCGTTTAATATGTCCTTGATAATTATCTATTTCTTGTCTTGCCTGAGAGCCATTACACACACCAGACACCTGAGTGCAGCCCAGGTGTTACAAGACTGCACCTCCGCCGGGCGGTTGCAGCCTTGTGTAGCCTTGGCCGTCACGCGGGGTGTCGCCCTATCACCCGGCATCTCATCAGACCGGCGTGACACTCGCGTCACGCGGGCTGTTCCAACACCGACAGTATCACCAAATTCACGGCGTACTCGGCCCACCCCGGCCGTTCCAAGTTCCACCGCCGACCGTATCACTGACTTCACTCGGCCCACTCCACCGCGAGCGACACCCCACCCTACCGTTCGTGACAGACAGCTTACTAACCCTCATTCCCCTACAAACACAGGTACATCCTGGAGAACTTCTCGAACGCTCCGAGCCGGGATCTGGACGCCGATGTACTGGACGTGTTGTCGAACTTGTTGCTGGCACAGGCCAAGGAGTGCCTGCTGGAGAAGCTGCTGCTCCCTCAGGAGAAGCTAGACCTGAGCGCTCAGCTCGACATTGGCCAGGAGGCGGCCCAGGTAAGATGTCTGGAGAGTCAGAGTGTGGCGTGTGCTGTTGGGAACACTGAGAGAATATGGAAGCACAGAGCGTGTATGCGGTGACTTGATAATGTTTACTTTTAGTTGCCAACGCATTTACCACTTGTGGACTTTTCACGATAGCCGTACTTCACATGAGATAGAATCATTTGGATTGTCAATCGGCGAAGTTGCACGCGCATCATGCCTTCTTCCCTGGCCTGCCGTTCGTAAACACGCAGGCGTAATGTTTCGCTGTTCTCGCCAGGTTTCGGAGACCTACCACCGCCTGCGGGAGCAGATGGCAGCACCGTCTGTTCAGGAGTCGCTGCCGCTCTCCTGGCAGCAGCTGATCCACATCAAGGAGGTCTACTACACCGCCCTATCGCACCACCACTTCGGAGTCGGTCAGTACCCGGCGGGTGAAGGAATTCCTCAGCCCGTACCAGTTTTCCTTTACACATCGGCATGTGTCGTTCGTGTGGAGTAGTAAAGAAATCTTGGTTCGTGTGTATACGGGTAGCTGTTCCGTGGCTATTGCTACACATTTCTTGCAGTCCACTATTGTTTACACGGCCTTTACCCTGTCACAGCGACCTTGGTCTGAGATAACAAGACCAGGTGCAGTTGTCGCGTGCCGTGCCTGTGTATGCCGGAGCTCAGCGGGCGGGGCAAAGGCCAATCGGTCCATTTTCCCGTAACGTGCCGACAAGAATGGGGAAATAATTATCAATTATCTCGGCAGAACAATAGCCGTGTTAGGCACGGTTCAGCCTCTTGCAGGGTGGATTACTGGTTGTTGGGGAGCAAATTGTTTTTAACTTGTCGTTGTGCTCGTGCTCCTGATTAGAGCTATCAGTGTGAGACTGTGCAGCCATTCCTGATCAACTAATTTGTATATAAATACATATTAGTAACATAAGTAGTAGTATAACGAACACAACATAATTAGAAGTAAGATACTAAGTTGCTGTCTGCCAGATAACGTCACGTATCATTCCCATCCGTCCTCCACATAAGGAGCTGCTCTAACTCTGCCACCAGCTAACTCCTCTGTCCCCTCACAGGCCTTCTGGAGCACGAGGGGCCGCTGACCCGCCGGGTGGCCGACACCCTGCAGCTCTCCCAGCGGGACCGGGAGGGACAGCTGCTCAGCGTCGAGCACAAGGTGCCCAAGAACACGGCCCAGAAGGAGTACCTCGGTGAGTGACCGGAGTGTCTACGTGGTTGTCAACCATTAATCCCGTTAATGGTTGATTCGGAGGGACACTGAATATCGTAATAAATTGAAATTGCGCATGATAGGATTGCACGCGTTTTTTAGCGACATGGACTTGTAACGGCATGGCGCCTAGTTGTTTTTATGCACGATGAGCGGTATAATAGGTCTTCGGGGAACCGATGCCCAATAGCTGAACGGTGGTTTTGCATTAGGCCTATGCCCGATCGGACACCAAATTGTACCAACAAAGCGTTTGAACTCGTCATTCCAGCCTTATCGCGACCTCGCTCCATAACTGAATACCCTCCCTCCACTTCTCCAGCCAAGTGTCACCTGCACGAGGCGATCGTGTTGCACGAGGAGGCAATGCGTCTGTACCGGATGGCCCGGGAGCTGAAGAAGAGGGAGATGCTGCACCACGTGCTGCGCCTGGGGCTGGACCTCAGTACCGAACAGTACACCCTGCTGCAGCGGGAGGACGACTTTGACGAGCCCGTTGATCCGCCCGTCATCACAGGTAGGTGGCGCCGCCGGGTGGTAGTAAACGGGGCTCTTATAATAGGGGACAGCGGATACTGGACTATTTGCTGGCCAATCTTTTTAGCCCATTCCATTATTTGTAGCAGATGTCTTCTGTTGCTTACGTAGGAAACTTTCATACTGGTTTTTGTTGTTTGGGAGTCTGGGACATGTCCCTAGCGCATCTGTGGGCGATGAAGGGGTAGAATCCGAACTGTAACGGCCTATTTTGTATATTTCCATGGCAACATTCACTGGAAGCAGTAACTTTCACGACTTTTGGCAGCTCTCGTAGTACCTAACGCCCTCCCTCCGTCTTCATTTGACAGGCTCCTCCAAGTACCAGCTGTCGCTGCAGGCCCCGGACTTCAGTCGGTACCAGGTAGCGGACCTGTTCCGCAGCCTCGGCCCGGTCGAGGTGTTCTCGGCACACCACCACTGGTCCGCGCCCCGTGCTGTGCACATCGAGAGGAGAGCCGGCGAGGGGCTCGGCTTCAGCGTCAAGATGGAGGCGCCCGTTGTGGTGGTGGGAGTGGAGCCGGCCGGCCTGGCCGAGGTGGGTACGGGGGTGGAGAGTGGCGGGGACCCGCAGGATATAGATAGTCAGTAGTCATGACGGCCGGTAGGAAAAGATGCCTAGTGCTAGTAGGTCTAATGATGAATTGAACACCAAGATAAACAAAAAATCACTGACGGTATTTTGCTTAAAAGTCATCAAGAAATGTGTGTGGGTTACTTCAGCCGTTAACTCACGGTGGAGTTGCAACACTAGCGATATAACGCAGCGAATAACCATTTCGCTACGAGTCTCTGTCGTAGCCTCTCCTCACCGTCATCCCCCTCATACCTTCGCCTTACACCATCTCGCCATGTTCTCCCACTCACTCCCCTATCCCTCCCACAGCGAGTCGGTCTGAAGGAGGGCGACTACATCGCCGGCATTGACGACGAGGATCTGAAGTGGGCCAGCCACACGGATGTGGTGGCTCACATTCGGCGGGCCGGCTCCCAGTTTACGCTGCACATCATCACACCCATGGATAAGACGGAGCCGGTGAGTGGGCAGAGGTGCAGGGGCGGGAAGAGTGACGGAAAGGGGTTGTTGGCGGGAGTCACGCGGGAGTTATGGCGAACTTGACGTTTGTGGGGTGTTTGGTCTTATTTGCATTGTCTTGCGCGTTTTTTTCTTGTGTGGTGGATTCCCATGCAGAAGTTACGCTTCACAAGTAGCTTTGAGAGTTACTGATGTGCTTGTGTTTTGTCCTGTTGTCTTTTCTCATAAGAGAGTCTTGCTTTGCGTCCCAAATGTACGCTCATATCTGCCTCCCTGACCATCCCTACCTCTCTGTTTGACAGACCCCGGAGCCGCCGCGGCCACCGGCGCTGCCGCCGCTCTCCGACAAGACCTGGGGCTCGCTGTCCAGCTCTGGCGTCAGCTCCGGTGTCTCCAGCCGAAAACCCAGTCCAGCCAGCAGCCTGGCCAGCCAGAACAGCAAGGGCTCGGCCAAACGGCACTCGTGGAACCCGTTCAAGAAGGGGCCGCGCTCCGACCACCCGGAGCTGTACAGCAGCAACGTCGTGCTCCGGTGAGGCGCCGGTGCCGACGAAGAAGCATCTGTACATACGTCATCGCCCAATCGTTTGTGTGAGTGGCCGCGAGAGAATGTGCCCGGCGGCTACTTTGGGTCGCTCGCCTCTGAAGCGAGCTGCCTGTAGGTGGCAGCGCTGTCGGATCTGCAGCTGTAGGTGGCGGCACCGTCGCGCCGGTCGGCGCCCGCCACAGGCCAGTGTGTGAGCTCGTGGAGCGGGCCGAACAGCTGAGCGCGGGGCCGCTCAGCGCCGCTGGCCGTACGAGGCCGGCCTGTGCAGCAGTGTGCTATCTTGCCGGCGGCCAGGAGGGCTGCCATATGAAGGAACTGTGTCCGTTGGATAAGTGTTTCCCAGTGACGCGATGTGTTGACATTTAAAGGAATTTTATCATGGTTGATAGTGAACCGTCATTTTAGTGTAATGGTATCAATTATCACCTGATGATTATGTGCATCAACCAGGGGCCAAACCACCTCACGCGAGTGCGTGTATGTGCGCGAGTGTGCGAGTACAATGGTGTGTAATGTATGACTGCTCGAGCGGGTGTGATTGTTATCGACAACAGCAGCTGAGTGTGAAAGTTATGCTATTGTGATATTTGTAATCGCCAGCGCTATCCATCGGACCAATTCAGAGGTCCGCTGTAGCTGAAATGTGTATATTCAATAAATACGTGTCGCATCTATTCGTGTTTGAAGATCTAGGGGCTGTGAGAACGACAAACCCGATGTGACGAAGGCTGACTAATCAACATGCAGAAGAAAACTGACTGGTAAATAACAAATAATTCATTCATCGATCTATTGCACCACAAGCGAGGACGTCAGCCACTCAGAGCTGATAGGCTTCCAAAACGACCCATATACATTTCATAGGCCTTCAGAATCTGTCATCACCTTTCGATTGGAGTACTGTTTTCTAGCAATCAGTATATCGACGGCTGCACTAAAATGATCATCTCACAAAGGTACAAATTCAAACAATTATTGTGACACGAATCACTGCGCTGGCACCAAGGTATTAAGTATTTAACTAGACCAACGCTGTATTGGCACGGCTGGATGGGGTGATATTACGTCCCATAATGCAACAGTCTCACAAGTGCCGTCGTTCTAACAAAACCGACCTTCGTGTGTAACACACGAGTGTATGTAACACAAGCTTAGTCTGTAGTCTACTCTAAATAGACTGAATATTTATAATTCTATAAGGCACGGTTCAGTCACAAACCGATTAATTTTCAATGCATGTGAATCATGCAGAACTGTGAATATACAAATATGTACCCTGAGAACGGCACAGGACATGTTATAACACATATTGGCTGCGCCGCTGACGATTCAACGACGCCTGAAAATGTTACCGATAAAAGCTCAATACCATTGCACTAGCTAGCACAGGAAGCAGCTGCTGCATAAACAAAAGCAGCTGCGATATCAAAATCACTTCGCCTCTGGATAAATCTGGCTCTTGAACTGACTCAAACGGTCCATACAAAAATAGCACATAAGCTCTCACAGTTCACACTTCCACATCACATCCACATCTATTATTGTTGGACAACGGCATCGCTATCGCCTTGGTTAGCACCAAAAAGCATTAGTAATGGACATTGGACAGCCTATCACAATCAATACAAACCAGTAACACTAAACCCCATCCTAGGCTGCTGCACACAGCACATCCTAACTCGCCAAGTTTTAAAGGGTGGGTACCGTTCTAAAAGATCATCTCAACTTAACCACTAACACCAATGGGCACCTTTACGACACTACTTGAGCGCTACCTCAACAAGCGTTACACGAGCACAGACCATACGAACGTCATTCTTTGTCCCAGTTGGCTGTCAGCTATGCAGAACTTGGCTATGGAAAAAAAAAAACTGAGCGATCGCTATCTGGCTTACTTGGCAAGAGCCTTCTTTGTCCCTGAATGCCGCAAAACAAAACCAGGAGGCTTGCTTGCGTGGATCAAGCACAGTACCTATCCCAGCTGGAGTGCGATCAGTCCCTTTTGATAATGTAGCAGTGCTTGAAATGCCCCCCTTTGTTAAAATGCACCCACCGGCCACCACAATGCAGCCAATTCTTCATTCAATCATCCTCACAGCGCGCCACCAACAGTGCATCGTGTAACCCCGTCCTGTCTGAGTGTAACAGCTCCCCACTCTAGCTAGCATCCATCCCATTCCACAGAGAACTTTGTCAGCCCATCGCTCGGAACTAGCAGTTCCTCTCAATCTCCAACAACTTAAAACACCCTTCCATTAAAGCTAGCATTCATCTTTCCTTTCCAACAACTTACATTCATCCCTTCTTTGAGAGCCGAGCTTATTCCGTAATCTCTAACAGCCACCCCCTCTTTCAGAGCTTACTATACAAATCATTCATCACCTCATCTGTCACCTCAACAAACGAGTCGGGCCCGGTGATCCTGAACGCCTTGTCCTTGTAGCCGGAGAGGTTGTGACACCTCTGCACGTGGACCTCGTCATAGAGCTCCCTGACAGCCGGTGGCATCGGCGCCGTGCCAGACATGGCCGCTAGCTCGTCAAAGTACTCCCACTGAAGGGGGCCGAGGAAGTGAGCGTAGCGCCGCGGCATACCCATCTCGAGGCGACGCTGTAGGTCCCGCACAGTGTCCTCAGTCATCTCGGCACGGGAAGGTAGCTGCAGCCGCCCCGTCAGACTGGCCAGGAAAAACTGAACCTGATGGAGGGATGAAAAAGGGGCGTCAACTGCCTAGGAAAAACTGCAATTGGTGGAGAGGAGGGACGGGCAAATAAAAGACGATAAGGTTTTTTCTTACCTGTTTGACGAGCATGTGTGAAAGGACAACACTAGCTTTTTGTGGCAGGGTTATCGAGCCACACTAACCTAATTGTGTCACAAAGGGCACAGTCTCCATAACTTTATTGGTATGCTTACACGACCGAAAAAAAACAAGTTTGTACCCAGATAGTAGTCGGGAAACGTTACTTACACAAATCTGACTCCAAAACAGCAGGAACCCTCGGGCTAATCGATTCATTCATGTAGATCATAGATGGGTAAGTCACACTAGCATGTCTACTGTCGAAGGTCTGTGATCCCCCGACTGACCTGTTTGTGGAACAGCGGGAACGGCAGGACGACCGTGGGCAGGCCGACGAACGCCATGCGCGGGTACTCGGTGTGCACCAGGTGTTTGTAGAGCGGCCGAACCTGGCGGTCCACCACTGACACACCGCACTCCGGCGACAGGAAAGGAAACACAAACTCGTAACCTGGAACAGGGAAACGGTAACTCGTAACCTGGAACACGGAACGGGAAGACAAACTAGTACCCTGGAATTGAAACACAACCTCGTAACCTGAAATGGAAACACAAACTAAGTATCGTAAACTGGAACGCAGGAACACAACCTCGTAGTTGACGTTGTACTTAACAATAATATAGGACGTCGCCTAGCACATTACTTCATCTAAAATAGTTCAAAACTCCCGGCATCCCTAACCAGTGCTGGAAATGAGGCCGCTTTCTGGATAAGTTTCGTGTGACTATTAACTTTGCATCTCGACTGGGGCGAGCGGCGAAAACAACCGCGACCCTGAGTGGGTCCCGAAAGGCTAAGCGTTGCAGCTGGACGGGATTAACCCGGGAGGAGAATAAAACGCCGGGACCAGAAAGCGGCCTCATTTCCAGCACTGTCCCTAGCCCCTTCCAGACCAAAGCGACCGTTACCCATCCACTTCTCGTTTCCCAACCCCCAACTCACCTGTGCAGAACATGAGTACATCGACCTCGACCCTGGAGCCGTCCAGCAGCACGGCCTCACTGCCGTCCATCCGCTCAATACCCACCGTTTGGCGCATGTTGTCGGGCAGCGTGGCAGGGAACGGCGGCTGGTTGTGCGCCAGGTACACCTGACGACGGGAGAGGGTGGTCAGAAGAGAGGGGAGGGAGGGAGGGAGATGGAGAGAGAAGAGAGAGAGAGAGAGAGAGAGAGAGAGAGAGAGAGAGAGAGAGAGAGAGAGAGAGAGAGAGAGAGAGAGAGAAGAGAAGAGAAGAGAAGAGAAGAGAAGAGAAGAGATAGAGATAGAGATAGAGATAGAGATAGAGATAGAGATAGAGATAGAGATAGAGATAGAGATAGAGATAGAGATAGAGATAGAGATAGAGATAGAGATGGAGAGAGAGAGAGAGAGAGAGAGAGAGAGAGAGAGAGAGAGAGAGAGAGAGAGAGAGGGACAGAGACAAAGACAGAGACAGAGACAGAGACAGAGACAGAGAGAGAGAGAGACAGAGACGGCGAGGAAGAGAAATGTTACAAATAAGTAAGCAAAACATAATTGAAGGATTCTGCATTAGCTGGTTTAAGTTCTAAGCCGAACAAATTCTAGGCAAACCAGAATGATATTCGTGAATTACACAGCCGAAATTCATATTCACAGGCTAAAATACTACCCCTTGATTTCTTTAAAAGATTAGGAACGATTCCTAGTTCATCCTCTTAGCCGTTTGGGAATTGAATCGACAACATTTCTGCTCACCTGTTTGGCCACTTTGGAGACCTCCATGGAGATGTCGATTCCCGACGCCCGGCCTCCCAGCAGAATCATCTTCTTTCCTAGAGAAACAAGACAACAAAGGTTCAAGCTGGCAAACAGGCGCAAACGCTGAAAACGTGATGATATAAACAGTAAACAAACACGCTTGTGAGTGGTTAGCCAGTAGCTAAAGAGCGGCATAAAGACGTCGGTGATCGAATTGCATAACCCAAGCGGTTTTAGCATATTCAGGAGATGTGTCGTTGACTATGTGGGAAGCCGCTAAATGTGCAGCTGCTCTTCGTGATTTTAATGATTTTGTCATTGTTTTGTGTTGTATTATTATAGGTAGGACTTCGTCTTTAAATGGGGTGTCCCCGTCGACGATGACTTAAATAAACTAAACTAAACTAAGTCGAATGGCTGCTAGCCGCCCAAGAAGTGCTCATGTACGCGGTAGTGAGTGTACTACACCTGTCATCGGCTTCTGATACCGCCCGTATAGAGATTGCAATCCCGGGATCGGGATCCCGGGATCTCGGCGGGATTTTAATCCCGATCCCGATCCCGAAATTCCGCCAATCCCGGGATCCCGAAAAAAACAGTTTTTCACCATAAACAGAATGCAGCCGCTGCACGAGTCTTGTTTGCACTCTGCATGGTGCTGCGTGACATAAAGCAGATAAACTATTTAGCTGGCACCCCGTATTGGTCGTCCACAATCGACCGTGTTGTAGCTCCCGGGTATCACCCACAGCGGTTAAGCCGCTTAAATACGTACGAAAAAGGATCCCGAACGCCAAAAAAATTGCAGTATCAGCGCTGCAACATCTTTAGGCAGGATCACAGATCGTTCAGCGATTCTGACTTGCCTGTCCGTGGCCGGAACAAAAGAGGTCATCAAGACAAGTCTTTGAGCTCGTGTCGCAGAAAAATGTCACAGATGTCACGCAAGTGACGGCAGAGCTCACTGATTCAGACGTTGAAGACAGTAGAGTGGACTTGGAGCTCTCCCAGTCAGTGACTCTGCTCTCAAAGCGACTTTCGAGCAAATTCTGAGAGACATTAGTGATGAAAGCGGAACCGGAAGGAGGTGAAGTGACCAAGCGACGCCTTGAAAACATTGTGAAATAGGGAGCTGCCAAATTTGGCGTACACTGCTTGCGAGTTTTTAAGTAGGCAGACAGACCAGCAATGGCTTAAAACTGTCGCGCTAACTACGAGTAGCGCAGACGAAGAGTGAGTGAGGCGTGGATGTGCTGGAACCCGTCTAGTAAACGTACTGGTCGACGCACAGTTTTATAAAGGCCAATTGGGAATAAATACTTATGCTAATCAAATCGAAACGTTTTCTTTGCAAATTCAATCGTTTTTAATGCAAATGACATGGTCTAAGGATGGCTTTTGGTTGCCTCTTTTTTGTGGTAAGCTAAAAGACGCAAAATATGTCCGTAGGAAATCACTCTTACGACATTTAGTGACAAGACCGGGATCCCGGGATCCCGAAATAAAAACTTTCGGGATCCCGGGATTGGCAAAACGTTCCGGGATTGCAATCTCTACGCCCGTATTGGTACAGGTACAGGGCTCTAATAAACGCGGTAGCAGCTGACCAGTGTCTCTACACCTCTCTACTGATGACATATCACCTGTGTACGGCTCCGGGAAGCGGTAGTCGTGACTATGTAGTACCTCTCCCTGGAACTCCTTCAGTCCCGGTATGTTGGGCACGGCCGGAACCGAGTAGTGACTGGAAACCGGAAAACAGCAGGTTACACCTGTCTTCCGACGTGATAATTTTATCACGACATAGTGCGTATCAAATGTTATCAGTAAAGTACGATGGTTATGTTCAGGCCTTACAGTATTTGCTTACATTCTGCAATGTATTCGTGCGGCAGCTCTGAACATTAGTTCGTAAAGTGCATTAAGAAAAAACTGAAAATTAAGTCTCCTTAATGCAGGAAATGAGCGAAGTAATGTCCGATATTCAGATGCATGAATTTCGGCACAGGTGGGACACACTGGCTTCTGAACTCCGGCAGGTTCTACTCCTCCCTTCTGCGGCAACTCACCCGTTGCACACCAGCAGCGCGTCAAAGTGTCGGTTTTCGGCCGCGCCCGTGGTCAGGTTACGAGTGGTGATACTCCATCCCGAGCGAGGGTCACCCACGCTCAGAGGGGTCACCTGCTCCACACGTGTCTCGAACTGGGGAAGAGTGAGGGACGGGGTAGTGTGAGAGTGAGTGAGTGAGAAAGAGACATGGTAGGAGAAAGAGTATTTTTTTGTTTTGAGCTGCCAACTGACGCCTCTGATTGCCAGCAGAGAGAAATTAAAGAATAAATGAAAAAATGTTACTGAATTGAGAATAAAAACGAGACCAGTGGAATCAAAAAAGTTTCACTTCGATCTACTTGAAGCTTGAAGTCAACATGTCATTTAATGACTTTACAATTGTTGTTCTTATCTCGCATCGGTCTATGTTTTAATGAAAGTGTAGCCGAAAAGAGCAAACGTCACTGCTAATGTCATCCCAACTTCCCAAGTTGCTTCTCAATTTAAGCTGCAGGGCAATGGTGCTATGCAGATGCATCTGTTCATGAACGTTCTGGATAGTAACATCTAGGGTATCCACAATGCCGAGAATCGTGACTCAACACATGTGAAAGCAGCACCAGTTCACATATCCATTTCATTCAGATGAGTAAGAATACCGCGATTCGCACGCTCTCGCACACGTGTGCCCAGGTACGATATACGCAACGTGGTATCTCATATCACCTTATCGGGCCAGCGATGCGGACATAAGAGCCATGCCCCCCGGTCGACAACAAGTGCATAAAAAGCAGCTTAGCTGAGGTCACTCGAAACGCACCTTACTAGCACGGTGCGGCGAGGTGTGAACCGAAATAAAAGCTGATGAAATTCGCCGCGATACGCATAGAAATAAGACAAAATACTGAGAGGCAACAAAGTAATCAAGTGGGGTGAGTGGCTTCTGACAAAAGATTCCAGCCCGAATCACGACGCAAACTTACTACGCATTGTATACGCAGCGGCCAGGTCAAAGTCCAATTCAGATGACTCGCAAGTCGCAGAGGATTTCCTGTATCTGATTTCGCAACAACTTGCAGTTATCAATGGGAAACGCCGCTTTTCAACGACGCTGTCGACTTCTAAAAACGTTAGTAATATTGCTCAGCGTTATATAAGCCGCAACAGTCTCATCTCACTCGTGGAAAAACAAAGAACGAACAAAAAGCTACCAGCAATAGCACCAACTCAAGTCTCAGCTATGAGAAGCAAGGCATATGAATCAATGACTTGCTGTTCTGAAGAGGTACTCGAGATAAGAGCATACATGTTTTACTGAGTCTGTTTGAGTACAAGAGAGTTTAGTCCACCGAGTTTATGCCTGTTTCTTCAGGCCTTTGGTGAATCATCTGGTGGAAGGTTACCCTTACCTTTTTAACCGCGTCGTGGCATTGGGGGTATGTTTGTTTCTCTGTAATGTTTTCCTTTTTCGCGAATATCTCAGCACCGGCAGCTTTGGCACGTCTTATAGTACCGTAAAGTGGGGCTATTTGAGACAGTGGGGCTATTTGAGACAGTATTTAAAATCGCTTTAAAATGAAGATCGTTTGATTTTTGTGTGATATTTTTGCTCAGGGAGGTGTGGGATCGAGCAGTAAATCGCCTGAGCAAAACATTAAGCATACGTTTTAAGTGGTTTTTATTTTATAGCAATTTTAAATACTGTCTCAAATAGCCCCACTGTCTCAAATAGCCCCACCTTACGGTACATATATCACATCCGCATATCGTTCAATTTTACGTCTTTTGCCCTTCGAATGACAAACGGTTGGCCTCTGGTCAAATGTAATGACGCATTTGCGAAAAGCCTTAAAATAGCCATCGAAAGCTTTTTTCGCGACATGATTTTATATGCCACTCAACGCATGGCGCTATGTGGTCAAGAAAGAAACGTTCACTTCACCAGCAGCTAGGACGTATTAATTTACGACTACCACCAGTACAGTACAGTACAGCGTCGTTATCAATTAGGCATGTACTATATACTCATTACAAGGATACAGAAGAGGCTACTTTATAGAAATATCCACAACCAATCACATACTTCATTACATTTGTGTCTGATGCCATTAGCTAGACGCCCTAGCTGAGCGCAACGCAAACAAAAACGAGGTGTTGACCTGTAAGAATCTTGGTGTTGACAACGTGTGACTTAGCTACACTGGCATAGAAAAAGGCTTTAGGTTTATCTGTTACTCTTTTTGCAGGCCCTTGGGCTAACATGCAATCGGAACTAACAATTCAAGAAAAAAAGCTTAGCGGGTTCACTTATCGGTTTCACCGTAAAAACGTGGGAGCTAGGGTAATACGATATTCACAAATGAACTTAAAAACCATCAAAATCACTGGCACTTGAACTTTTGACTGTGTCAGATCCAACAGCTTATTTACAAAGACCAAAGAAACAAAACGATGTTAGCGACCTGGGAAACAGTTCACGGTATATCCAATAAAGCAAGTTATGCCAGCAAATTAACGATTCATATTACTTTCTGATGTTATACCTCGCAGATAAATGTTTGAAAGTCAAACTTACCGAAATGAATCGTTCCAAGTTGAACTCAGACGCATAGCTGCGCAGGTAGTCGAGCACTTCTTCGTGGAAAATAAACGACTTCCCGTTGTAGCTTGTTTCCTTGAATGGAAAATCTGGAAAGCCCATTACCTCTTTGGGCAAATTCGTTCTGCAAAGGGTCAGGGTAACAACTGTAATAATACAGCTGACAGTGAAGGAACTGGGGCAGCACAGCATGTAGGCATTACGTAATTGTAAGCATTGTAAAGGATCGAATGGCACAAAAAGAGATGCTTCTTACGTGCTTCTTACCAAGGACATAGCTACGTAAAAGCCATGATGAATTAAATCACGGAATATCCTCATCACTTATCTCCGAATTGAACATCATACATAGCAATAACCTCATCCCTATTCCAATTCACAGGCCACAGGCTGAGTCAGGAAGCCACCTCATAATTCAATACGAATCCATCCTGAAGGCACTGTGGGCACACCATACTCACCGAAGGTTTCGGTACATGCTGGAGTGGATGGGCAGCCCATGGCGATCCTTTCCGACCTGGTCTGTGTAGACCCAGGTTCCACCGATGGTAGCCGCCTGCTCAAACACCACGGGCGGCGCGAACACGGCAGGCTCGGCAGACAGCAGGCGGGCAGCCACCAGCCCGGCGGCTCCGGCCCCAATCACTGCCACCTTCAGCATCGCTGCTCTGTGAACCAGCCATACCTCGGTCACAACTGGGTGAATGAAATACAAATAATGATGGTCAGGCAAAGTAGATCAGTACTCTACATCAGCATGTGTACCCAGCCAGCAATTACCCAGGTTTGGCTTAAGTCCGTTTTGCCCCGGCAACTCCGACTGGCCAGATTTTGGCCGGTGTAAATGGAACGCCGTCGGAACAGGGGGTTCGGGTCGATATGGCTCTATTCTGGCCAGCCAGACTTTGCCGTAACGCTCCCGAGTGGGTGTGGTTTCAGACCACCAACTCCGGCTCAAGTCCGGCTTCCTGCTACTGTGCTGCCACACCCAGGTCCAGCTGTCTCTTAGCTGCTCTGGCTTACTGTGGCTGAAGTACGATTGAGATACGGCATGGCTGATGCTGCTTAAGTCTGGCTGTGGTGCCGTGCGGGCGAGCTCTGGGATCCTGTGTCAGCTCCAGTAGAGCTCCAGACCTTGTATGTACTTTAACCATAGTAAGGTGCCGGAACTAGCCAGAGTAAAGCCAGATCAAGATACAGTTCATACCAATTTTGCTGGCTGGGTATGAGCTTAAATGGACAAAAAGGTAAATTTTGCCACAAATCATGGCAAAACATCAGTGCAAAATTGTGTGCCAAAGTTCAGAGCATGAGAGTCCCTGAGGCATCTGGCGACTGGCATAGAGTTTGGATTTTTCTGATCTGGCTCTATTATGCACTGCACCCTAGTTGAGTACTGTAAAATGTTATCAACTGAGGTCTCTACAGCACAGGTTCAGTGATAATGTAGGTTCAGTGTGAACTTCAAATGCTTAAAATGCTACCAAAGTTTTACAGGAAAGTGTCATTCAGCAGATTATTACAAAAGCCAAAAATGAGAACCTTAAAAGGGCTATGGCTAAGAAAATCGCAAAAGCTCTAGTCTAGCTTCATGATCAGCAGGCGAAAGTCAAAACAGACAGCAGTAAAAATTGTATGAAATGCTGTGAATTTTATCTCAACTTACCGAAACTGGCAAAACAATCCAAACAAGATCAATGATGATTCAGGCTTGATTCAGGCAATCAAGAGGCGACAAAGATCAGACGACTCTCACAACTTGCCCTCAAGAAAAGAGACGTCCTTGAGAAAAGGTGACTGAAGAGCAACAGCAACCAACAGCAACTGCAACGGTCCCCGAATTGAAATTGAAATTGAGGCACCAATTCCGGATGGACCTCTATACACGACGCGGACTCGGTGCTGACGGGATTGTTTATCTTTTGGCTTGCATAAGCTATTTGGTAGCTTTCACATAAAGGGAAAAAAGAGTGTTGTGAAAGTCATAGATATAAAAGACTAGATGGGACATTGGCAGTATTTTAGTGCGTGCGACTGGCCGCCATGTTTGTGAGGGCGGGAATCTGCGGCGTTGTGTAAACACTACGGGAGGAGGGGGGTATTTGAGACTGATTTTGTGGTATTTTTCGACCGAAAAGTGCTAATCTTTTTTGCTCACGGCATTCTTTGGAATGTGTAGATTGTGGAACAAGTGCTGAAATATGCTTATCTATTGTAATTTGGCTACGTTAGCCTTAGACATGTTGCACTGTTGACGCTGATGAAGAATAGGCGGCACCAAAGGTAGATTTGCTTGGCATGCCTGTTTTAGATTTAATTCAGTTCCCATGTTTTTTTTGTGCACACCACAATCCTTTAATTATTCTTGCATGGATAGAGCATCAGTCATATGATTTTTCACAAAGAAAGCTTACCTAGATAGGTACCAGAACATTGGCAGCGGAAAGCAGACTCATTACCTACACTTGCTTTGCCTGCTCACTTTCTACTGTTGCCTTCAATGGACAATATTTATGAAGTAAGAAGGTTTTATGATTATAGGTTTTAAATAAGTACTTTACTTAATGTCATCAGTTAGTATTAAATAGTAGTTCAGTGCCAAACGAAAAATCCATGCACTATGCCAGATGCCTCGGGGGCTCTTATCCGCTCTGGGTTCAGAGTGCAGTGGCATACCACGCTCACCCTCAACCAAGGCTATATAAACCTTATAAAGGCGATATAAACCCCCTCAACCAGAGCTGATAGATAGTGAAAATGCCAGACGTCGTGATATCTGCACCAGTGAACCGTGTCGCACATTTGATCCCAATAATGAACAGCACAGGGGTGACGTAAAAATGTGCGTTAGTTGGAGCACCTAAACTCAGATTGTCATTACCTAATTAGTTTTCACATTGTAAAGCTTAAACTACACTTCATGCTCTTTTGGCTCACCTGTTATCAGTATCAGTAAATAGGGTATTAGTAAATCTGGCGTTACCATCAATGCTAAGTGCTAACAAGTAAATATGAAGTCCAAGGAAGATAAAAATCATAATCTTACTTGACCTAACCTTACCTACTAACCTAACTAACCTACAACCTACAAACCTCAACCTACATACAACCTCCATACCTACAACCTACCCACCTACAACCTACCAACCTTATATGTGCCGACGGTGGCACCAGATTTATGGATACCCTTATTTGTTAGGTACTTCACTCCACTTCTCATTTTATTTGAAGCTCATTTAAATTCTTGTATTTAAGTCTGTGTAAACTATTATTTTAAAAACCTGATGCTTTTCCATGACTGTAATCTCACTGTTTGATATGTGTATTTTGTAGTGTGTACTGTGTGCAAATCCAGTATCCTACACTTGTATGCTACAGGCCTTGTTTTGATCTGACTAACTGTTAATATGTTTCAGCTTTAAAGACTAGTATCTTTTGAAATTGAAATTTGCCTCTCAGTCTCTCAAGAATCAAGATGCCAAATAGATGTGCAGGATTTGATTGCTGACAAACCAGGGATGAGGCTCAAGAGTCAAGAGATCACCCTGCATTGGCAAGTAAAAGCTACAGACTCTTGATTTTTTATATTGTTACAGGTTATCTGTCACCGAGAGCGATTGCTGTAGTTCAATTTATTGCATCAAAATTGGCAGAATATGACTTCACTGATCACTCTGACGTCATTTACGGCCGACCTATGGTAGCTAACAATTTTTATTTCTATAAAATGTTTCAGATTGATGCAGCCGAAGGTACTGCAAGTTTCGTATTGACACGTCTAGTGGTTTAGAAATATTGCAACAAATATATATTTTAATTTTTTTTCAATATATAAATGTAAATATTTTATTGCAGAAAACAGGAGAGGGGCTCTGTAGAGCCCCACCCTCCAGTCATGCGTGGGTAAAGGCCCATCAGTCACTAAAACCAGAATAAGTGCAAAAAATTATTACCAAATGCCCGGAGACTGCTTTACCATTGCCAACATGTGTGTGTGTGTGTGTGTGTGTGGGGGGGGGGGGGGTGTGTGTGCGTGTGCGTGTGTGTCAACAATGTGTTAACAACAAATACAACACTTGTGCCTGGCGTATGTTAACACTAAACACTATTAGCCATATTTTATTGATACTAATCGAACCTTCCAGGTGGCTGGAACAACCCCAGTGCCGCACAGTTCTGCGGGATATTCCGGCACCTGCTCCACCGCTGCGGCGTCCGGCCCGGCAGCACAGGGAAAGTGGCAGCCCTCGACCCGACCAGCATCCTGGCAGTCGGTCACACGACCAGCGGCCGGGGAGCCAGCCTTACTACCTCGGCCTCCACCACCTCAGACAACGGTGCCACGGCACTCCACATCATCACGGAGCACGACTTCCAGCCTGGGCTGTCGTCTGGTGGGCAACATCGTCACCTACATCGCAGGGTTCGTGGTGAAGAAGGCGCTCGACTCTGTCAGCTGTAGCACCTGTCAGGAGGCCCTGGTGAGCGACATCCAGCCGGACGACATGACACAGCTTTACCACCTCTTCATCATCTCTGCCAGATGAGCTAAGGTGGGGACGGGTTACATGCCTGGGATCTGACTGAGACCCGCTCATACCCTGCCGAAGTGTTGGTGATTTCAGCGGTCAGCTGTCTCTAGCCGGTGTCAGTGAGTCGCGGCCAGCTGCCGCTGGAGTGGGTATCTACCGTCGATAGCTGCTGTGTGGCGGATAGCGTGGATTTGGATGGACACTTCATATTAATGAACAGATCAATGTCTGGCCGATAAAAGACGTATTTTGTCGATGATTGCTTAGTGACTGAGTGGGTCCACTGGCGACCAATGCAGTGGGCGCTGGGTTAACGCCTCGCCTCTTGTGACCGTGTCGATATATAGCATTGTTAATTGCCGATTCGTTGCCGGCCGTCTCTGCTCCGTGGCTGGCTGATCCGGCACAAACTGGTGTTCGTGGCTGAAGGCGCGGCTACAGTTACACTAGCTCGCCACGTGCCTGTGCGACTATCGTCGGTGCTGTCTGCAAGGGCGATGTCGGTGCCTGTAGGGGGCGCGGATTGATTCAAAGTGAGGAATGGGTCATCGGAGCTCGGGTCAGGTCATGTTCGGCTTAAATAAGCGGATTTTGCGATTTGCCGCATCCGGTTGAATTTCCTTGCCTTCTAGTGCATGTTTATGCATTTTACATGCGTTTTTTTTTTTAGTGTTGATGTCTAGATAACGTGCATTTGCCTCGAGGTCAAGGCTGCGCTTCATATGGGCAGTTTTCGGAGCATCTTGCTCATTTTATTCGTAATCCTTAATTATGTTTGCGGATTTGTGCCCGCAAATCATTTTTTTAAAGTAAGATTGACACGGGATTCGAGATCGGCGCCCATAAATACACTTCACATGACCCGCCATGTGTCAAGGCCATCCGAGGTCATCTAAGGTCGCTGACCTTGTATGACCTTATGTGACCCGGTTCGCTAGATTTCGAGATGAGGTTGATTGGGAATGATGTAACCCATTTCGCCGACAGTTCACGCGTTTTGGTCGATTTTATAGCGAAAGATCTCAAACTCCAGTGACTTTACTGGTTCGATTTCCAGTGTTTGACCTGACCTCTGAGTTCACCCGTTGACCTAGTACCCTGAAATTTGGTATCACTGGTTTACTCACATCGCGGACAGCATACCTATTTTTTCCGTTCTTGCTCCGTCGAGGGGCGAACGGCTGGAGTTCACTCCGTTCACCCTGGCTTCCCCTACTCGTAAGACGCTGACAAACTACGAACGGGTGAGGGCTAAAATTGCACTTATTATCGATCATTGTCCATTGCATACTGCATACATAGATATAAAGTATGGTAGCCATAATGGGAAACGAATTTAATCTTAAATTAGCATGCCAATTGCATCTACCTTCGGTGCCGCATATCCTTTATCAGCGTCTTCAGGGCTATATGTCTAGGGCTGATGTAATTACATTACTATAAATACACATGTTTCTGCCCTTGTTTCACAATCTACTCATTCCAAAGAATGCCATAGGTAAAAAAGATTAACACTTTTCGGTCGAAAAATACCACAAAATCTGTCCCAAACACCCCCCTCCTCCCATAGTGTTTACACAGCGCCGCAGATTCTCGCCCTCACCAACATGGCGGCCGCTGCTACGTATTCGCGAGTCGCTCCCGACATGGGGGTGCCCTATCTAGTCTTTATATCTATGGTGAAAGTCCATTTTATTTTTTTAAGAACTCACCGTTTTACTTGATAACATTGGTTAAAACATAAATCCCAAAGCTTTTTTTTGTTTTAGATCAATGTTCACAGTTACGTTACGAACCAGTTTCTCTAAAAATTTATCTTGATGAAGGGAGGTTTCAATGCATTTTCATGGCCTAACATAGTTTTCCTAGCAATACTACCATATCCTAACCGTTTCAATAATAACGCTCTTCAGACATTTTAAAGCTGTAGTAGAGTTTGCTTCGCAAAAAAAATCCCTGAAATTTATCAGACAAGTGGTTCATTAGACAACATATTTTTGTTTTAAGCTGTTAATATGGCCGCAAGACGATTAACAATGTACCTCGGTCAATGTCTACCTTCAAATGTTGAGGGCTTAGCCAAAGTCACGGTTCGAACCCTGAAGAGAGACGAAATACTGAATGCGGTAAGTACTAAGTTGTCTAATTTTTAATGTTTGTAAGTTGCCTTATTTTTAATATTCGTTCCCACTTCTACTAAGCACACACTAAAATATGAAACATGATATTTTCTTCAAGTCCACTCATCTCTTTGGGACTCGTCCTCTCTGCCGACTACCAGTGTGTACCTACTGTGTATTGGTATTGGTATTGCATACCTAGTGGATTGACTGCAGTGGTGCCATGTTGATGTGCTCGCACACTGTCTGTGTTGTCCGAGAAAATGATGCAGGAAAATGCTGCTAGATGTGTTGTAATAAGTGGTCTTATTGCAGTTGTATTTTCACAAATGCACACACCTAAATAGAAATTTAGAAATCTTGCAATACAAAATTCAGCAATAGAACTGCAGTAGAAATGTTAAGCTTGGAATGTGCTGGCTGGTGTAAATTTGCTGCCTAGTTAAGGTTAGAGTGGGATCTGATTCTGATGCTGTTACATTTATTTCTATGCTCTTTACCCTAAAAGCATAGGCTTCTTGATTTCATTTGTTTCTTTGCTTCTTGCTGCAGTTGTCAGTTCAGTTGTCTTGTTAGAACTTTTAGTTGATTTCAAAGTTTGTAATAGAAAGATTGGAAGCACCTGCCAGCTCCACCATTAGTGTTGGATAACCATTGATCTCTGGGCTTTTAGGCTGCAATTTTATTCTGTTGCAGATATCTTTCAGCTAGAGATAAGGAAACTAGGCATCAGTATTAATTATATTAAGTTTTTTTTAAACTTGGACTCTTCATATTTGTCCTCTTTCTTCATATTTTGATGTTTTAGAGCCTTGGTTGTTTAGTGACTTTGTCTTCATCCTACATTCCCCCTTTTTGTCTAGCATCTATTGCTGTTATTTTGTACTTTTGTTGATAATATTGGATTTTATTGCATTTATTTGCCATCAGATATCACATAACTCTATCATTTTGCTATAGCACTGTTGTTCATCTTATTTAACCTGTGTTCGGTGCCAGTTTTTCCCGGAGAACACCACACTGGACGTGCGGGACCCACAGCACCAGTGCCGCGCCGGAGACACCGTGCTCATCGAACAGATGCCCGACGACGCCCTCGGCAAGGTCAAGTTCCAGCTGCTGAAGACGGTGTACCGTTACGGCGACAACAGGGACCCCATCACCGGCAAACTGGTCATGGGAACGGAGTACAGGTGCGTGCGTCGTACCGCTGGGGGTTGAGAGGGGCACGGGGACGGAAACTGAGATGGTGCATTATTCATTACTACACAGGGAAGCACATTTTGATGTCGTAAAATGATTTTGAAACTAGGTGCTTATTTTAATGAAGCTGCGCTTTTAATGTTTTGAATGGCAATTGGCAAGTATCTGGAGACATTCGCGATCATTCGTTGCTTATCGTACTGGCGATCTTGATTGCTTCTGAATGACAGATTGGTGTGATCACCCGAATCGAATCAGTGAGTTGTCACCACGGTTCTAATGCTTTGATTACAACCTCTGCCTTTACTTGAAATGTCAACCCTCGCTTTAGTTCACATCCTTCTTTAGCATGCCACTCACTCTGCTGTTGTACTCCACAGGGAGCACGTGGACCTGGAGGCCCAGCTGGCGGGGAAGGACGGTGGCGTCACCTTCGACTACGAGAGCGCCCCGCCGCGGGGCTGGCAGGAGGGCAAGAAGGACTGGTCGCACCGCGAACCAGAGGTCAAATGGCACGACGACGGAAAGTGGGAGCCGCACCAGTGGTGACTGGTGGTCTCATACCAGACTTTGGTGCCGTCGGGGCTGTGTGTGAAGTGAGGATGGATGCGAGGTATGCTGGGGTGGTGTGTTTTTTAATAGTCGTTGGATTGTGAGGATGTTATATAGTGTATTGCATGGTCATTGTGTTTCTTAAAATATAGATATGCAGAAGTGCGGTGAAGTTTCGTTTAGGTTCGAATGTAGGGACTTTTCAATTCTTAGTGGTAATGACTCAGGTTTCAAGTGTGTGCTAGGCACCTAGTGGACCGTATTTGCCCATTTTGTTTCACGCTTGTGTTACTGGCTTTTATTTACGACGAGGATATCTCGTTAGACCTCGGGTACAATGTTGAGCATACCTATAGGCAGTGGGACGACCCACGCGTGGTTACATGGCACATAGGCACGTAGCAAAAACATGCATTATTTATCACAAATGTGGGAGCTGTCGTCAGTTTTGACGAAACATCACAGCTCCCGTCACACTCATTCACATCGGCACAAGATGCCGAGCAGAGCAGGGACCCGCCGCCACTCCTGCTGTCACCTATTGTGAATTACAAAAACTCGTAATTCTTTTTGTAACCAGCAGGTGGCGCTGTTCCATCTGTTCTGAGGCCACCAGCACATCGCCATTCCAAAATCCACATAAATCGCAATCACGCATGCATCAGATAACACTAAGCACAACCTCTCATCTTCAGAAGCCGTGCTTATGATATTAGATGGACATAACTTGTTTGTAGCGGCGCTGGCTCTGTTGCTCGGCCAAACCGTGGGCAGAGGACGGCCGCTGCCCCGCCGACCGGTTTCGCGCCGGTCCCGTGCGGCCAGCGATGACCTTGGTGGTCGGGCGGCTGCCGGCAGGCCCGGGCCGTGCCGTCTCGGTCGGGCGATTCGCAACAGCGCGAGTTCTGTTGCCCAGCGGCCGGCGCACTCACGAGTCACGGGACGTGGATGCTCATGTCACGGTAGAGTCGCTTGCACGGTAGTTTCTGTACGGCGCACTAACAATCTCACACTCACAATATGTTCGGAAACGTACTTGCGACGCTATTCACACACCAAATCCACGCTAACATTTATAGCAGTAGGTATCCATGGAAGCCTAGTCAAGGCACCGTCCAATATTTCGTCCATGGCGGTCTCTAAACCACTACCACCCGCTCTCAGGCGTCGGCTCGGCACTACGTAACGCAGAGATTCTTCCACAGGTGTTTCTTCTTTTGGAAACGCCTTTTGCCAGTCGGGTGCAGAGAAATAATGCCAGTGTCGTAATAGCCCGGCTTGCCATGGAACTTGTAACCGGGCGAAGCGAATATGCCTGAAAATGAAAAAGAACCGTTTTAAAATGTAAAACACATTCAACAACGAACTGGGAGGAAAAATGAAAGTAATTGTCTTCTTCTAAATTTTATCCTTTCCAGGCTACAACCCGGTCCATTCAAACGCCTCATTCAGGTACAGCACCAACCAAAAACAACGTGGAAACATTCCTAGATCCACATTTCCAACCGAACACAACACCTCCTCCACGGTATTTCCCGTCCGTGTCCTTTGCAGGCGCCGCCACATAGCTGGGCATCGTCCCATCTATACGCTGTGTCATTCCCGTTCTTTGGCGGCCGAGCGGACACGAGGCGGCATGTGAGTGTGGTAAATGAACACCCGATAGAAGCCGACATCGACACGGCACCGGACAGGATGGGACAAATACCGACGGTGGTGTGGGCCGCCCAGGTGTTATAGAGACATCGGGAGTAATAAAAACAAGGGGTTTGAAAGGTTTACAGACGTGCACAGCTGGGAAACGTATTAGCTACATATGACATGCCCTAGTTTTTTTATGGTATAAAAACGATAGAGGCGCAGGAGTTAGCTCATATTATACAGTTATCCTCAAACCATTATACTCCAGTGACGCCATTGACCACCAAAAGACGTCACTATGTTTCACTCACTGGTGGTGATGACGGGTCGGGGCGGGTCGAATTCCTCCTCCTCCCAGCTCCTCATCTCTGCCAGGTAGCGCTCGGCCAGGTATGTGAACACCTGGCTAACGTTGAGGTCCTCCTTGACGGAGGTACGGTACAGGCGCACCTTCAGCTCGCGCGCCAGCGCCTCCGCCTCCTCCCTGAGGGTGGAGAGAGGGATCGGGGATTAGTTACAAGGGCTTGTAATTTTTATTAGTACTTCGTTAAGTTAGAAAGTCAAAGATAGGAAAAACGGAAACGTGAAATACGACGTATAGTGCATACATCTTTACTTTACAGCATACATCTTTGCGTTAGCGTTAGCCCAAATGTCTGATTATTTTTATATCTATCGTTCCAGTCTGGTTACTGTCATAGCCGGTCATTTGAGTCTCAGACTACTGTCTTTGGTTGGTGCAGCCTCTGGTAGTAACCATAGTCAGTCGTTGCAGTCTCCGATTAGTGACATTGTCGGTCGTTGCAGTCTCCATGCCTATTGTCCACTGTTGCAGTCTCTGGTTACGGTCATTGTCGTTAGTTCAGTCTCCGGCTATTGTCACTGTCGATAGTTGCAGTCTCCGATTGGCGTCGATAGCAAGTCGTTAATCGCAGTCTATGGTTATTATATAGTCGATAGTTGCAGTCTCTGGTTATTGTCATAGTCGATAGTTGCAGTCTCTGGTTATCATAGTCAATAGTTGCAGTCTCCGGTTATTGTCATAGTCGGTAGTTGTAGTCTCTGGTTATTGTCATAGTCGATAGTTGCAGTCTCTGGTTATCATAGTCAATAGTTGCAGTCTCCGGTTATTGTCATAGTCGGTAGTTGTAGTCTCTGGTTATTGTCATTTTCGATAGTTGCAGTCTCCAGTTATTGTCATTAGCAGTAGTTGCAGTCTCCAGTTGTTGTCATTATCAGTAGTTGCAGTCTCCAGTTATTGTCGTTGTTAGTAGTTGCAGTCTCAAGTTATTGTCATTGTCAGTAGTTGCAGTCTCCAATTATTGTCATTGTCAGTAGTTGCAGTCTCCAGTTATTGTCATTGTCAGTAGTTGCAATCTCCAGTTATTGTCATTGTCAGTAGTTGCAGTCTCCAGTTATTGTCATTGTCAGTAGTTGCAGTCTCCAGTTATTGTCATTGTCAGTAGTTGTAGCCTGGTTATTGTCATGATTGTCATAGTCGGTAGTTGCCGTCTGCGGTTATTGTCGTTGTCGGTAGTTGCAGTCTCCAGTCCGCTTATTAACACTGTCGGTAGGTCTCCAGAAGTTGCAGTTATTGCAGTTCAGTCTTTCAGTCCCCAGTCTCAAACATTGCTCGGCGTTGTAGCCTCTGTCGGTGGCAGTCTCAACGTCGGTGCTTATTGCTTAATCTAAGCTCCCTTTGCATTCATGGATAAAAATCGCAAGCCGTCAACGATGCATGACGGTCGATTGATCGGTCATGAGATGCCGATGAGCCCGTGTTGTGTTTTCAGCTACGGCGCTTGCAATTAGAGTCAAGCGTAGATTGTCACTACGGGACATCAACACGCTAATGCAGTTGAGCAAGCGAAAATCGTTTTTGCGTTGCAACTATCGAGGGCATCGAATATAACAATGCCGTCATGACACAACCACTCGACTGAAATCACGGGTTACTGCCATACCGCAGCGTTGAAATCACCATTCACCGAAATCCACGGCAGGAATGGCACAGGATAGTGGCGCTAGAATGCTCAGCATACACTCACGCATCAATGGTGGCCCGGTCGATCAGGTCGATTTTGTTCTGCACGAGCACCATGGGAATCGAGCCGCATTCGTCCTCCACCTGAGAACGGAACGAGGTCACGTCAGGTCATTGCACTGAGCGAGCTGCAAGGGGATTACAATGAGATAAAGTGATGGAGCAGTTATTTTCGCTTTCCGGTCTCACTCTCTATTCCTACTTTTCCTTATCGCTCCTGGTATATCCCTTTTCAAGCAGTCATTCAATAGAAACGCACATTCTATTTTGACTCCGTCCAAATATGATGGATCGATTCGCTGAAACAGAGGCGTCATTGACATCGCTCAAGTAAACCACAGCCTTGTCTGGTGACTTTTCTTACATCGTCTCTTGCAAGCCCAGTATGATTGAATGCCTCGCGGTTTCCCAAAAGCCACAGAACACCACCAGAACAGACCGATCGAAAAGAAAGCGACCCAAACATGGTAAGTGTTCGACCGCGCGATCCGAATTCAATCGTGGGGCTCAGCGGGCGTTTGTTGTCCTGGCACCGGGCCAACTCACAGCGGTATACCTATCGTTGGATATACAGAGGGTCAGTGTGTAACTGTGTATGAATCTACCAAGGACATGGCGTACGGTTGGCGCGTCTTCCCACAGCAAACCACCCGCTGACATTTATTTCCAATCGAGGACAACGCAGCAGTCATTGCTGCAAGTGACCAATCCGATCAATTTGACGATGACACAGCTCTGACCCGACAGTGGTCAACCAATGACCCCTTGGCCACTCGACGACGGTTGACACAGCGAAGGGTCACCAGCATTCGTCCGGCAGGGTCAGGAAGGTCAGGACACGGCGCGATGGCTATTATTTCCGTCCGGGACAGTGACATATTGCTCAGTAGGGGTTTATCAACAGGTCACCGTCGGTTATAGGGGTCATCTGACCATGACTGGACGGGGCAGCAGGTTACGGCATCCTGAGAGGAGGCAACAGTAGCTGTGGTTGTTATTGGGGATACATTTCGTTCTATGTTTAATTGTATTAATAGTTGTCTTTTTATTTGACTGTAAATGAGACGTTTGAGTAAAATATGATTCACGAAATAAGTTGAGTGTGGCTAGTTGGCCAGTGAGCGCGTATTCTTGTCCTTGGGCTTGCATCACTAGTCGATCTATTCAGCCGCCGTTATCCGCAAATGATGACTCGATCATTCGTCACAGATCGTTAGCGATCTCTGCAGATCCAGAAATGATCGGTGTCCGCCATGACAGTTGAAAGAAATTCCTCCTCTCGGGACGGCTGGGAACGAGAAATCATGATAGCTAATTGTCCCCGCCATTCGGCCCCTACAGCGTATGATAGATGGACCTGAGCCAAGACTGCAATCAGTAAATAATCAGCTGCAAACGTGCTGATGGGAGATTTGGAATGAGCAGGTGAAAGGGTCTGATGAAATCAATATCGTAACACTTAACAATACCACGTAAACGATAATACCACGTACAATGATAAAAAATCACAAATGTTGCATTCTTGGTGCTTTATAAAATGTGGTAAGCTCATGATAAATAAACGTCTATTTCCCTAATCGAATCCTAATGGTGAATGCCCTCTGTGCTAACCAACAACCCATGCGCCTTTTAGCATGTCAATCATCGTCTGAACAATGCCTCCTAATCATGTGCGCGTTCCCGATAGTGCGTGCCGTTCCCAGCGACAGCCCTAGTCAGTGCACTGTGACTGAGGTATCAGCCCGGCCCGGGTCGACAGAAATGACCGATCCATTAATGACTGCGGTGGGAGGCAATTTTCGGCCATTTCGTACCATTAGCCAAGCGGCGTGTGTGGCAGGCGGGGAGGGAAGACAAAATGAGGCAGTGAGTGGAGGATGTGGCGCATGACAAAGCTGGAGGTGTTTGCTTCATGGCTGTCGGGCCATGAGCGCAGTATCTACGAGATGCTCGTTATATACGATTAGGTCTTATTTTTTATCATTTAACGACCACACATATTTTTCATTAATCTGAAGAATGGCATATGCCCCGCCTTGGCAGCCCCCGCTGACTCTGCTACATGTGACTATGTGTAACTGCATGGGTTTCAATGGCTCTGAACATAGCGTACCACTATCGAAACATCTACATATACCGTATTCGCATTGACCTTTTTCTTCCAGTGCCGGACGGCCTGGAAGGAGGCGCGGTCTACCGTTGAAAAGGTGAGCACGCACGCCTGCGCACCGCGGTAGTAAGCCTTAGTGATGGCGTCAAACTCCTCCTGGCCGGCGGTGTCCCAGAGCATCAGCCGCACCGGGTCGTCGTACACTCTGTGGGGGAAAGGCAGAGCATCACACATCACATCACATCACACAGCGTCACACATCAGCCGCACCGGGTCGTCGTACACTCTGTGGGGAAAGGCACAGCATCACACAGCGTCACACATCAGCCGCACCGGATCATCGTCGTACACACTGTGGAGACGGGGATTGAGAGTTTAACACTGTGGGGAGGGGGTCATCAGACGCATTGGGTCGTCGTACACCCTGTGGGAAACGACATTATGTGAACTCCGCACTGAGAGAGGGAGTCATCAGCCACACCGCGTCATCGTGCACATCCTGCATAGAAGGGAGAATGTGAGGTCTGCACAGGGGAGAGGCCGCGCCCGCAAGTCAGTCGCACGGGGTCATCGAGGAAGGAGGATAGGTAGTTTGTGCGCTTGGAATGGTCGAGGGGGGTTTGGACTAACAGTGAGTCAAATTATACAGCGGCAGAGAGCGTTTGTAAGACCTTGCGTACATGCCGGCCACAATACCGTTGTAATGAGGCTGACGCATTTTATTGCACAATGGACATAATCCCAAGCTTGGATTGCATTTCAAGAACGCTTTTCAAGTCGATTTTTCTGCAATTGAGCACACGACTGTGTTCAGTCGAACGGTGACAATTACACAACACATAAAAATGAATTATTAGGTTTTATTTTTATATGCACAGAAAGACGCACCGAACCGAAACATAACCGGTTTGCAAGGTCGTAGATCACTTCTCGCCCCCTAATTGGCGGCTACTTTCATTGCTGTAGACGACCGCTTCACGTGGCACTAATGGTATGAACTGCCACTATCAGAGACATTGATCAGCCGTCGGATAAAAACTGGACTCGAGAATGAAATGTTTATTGCTTTTATCAACGTGGGAAAAAGGGCTGCTCTCATGTGGAATCGAATTTTGGTAAAGTCACCGCTGCACCAGGGCAATAAAATGTAACAAGAAAAGGATTATGTCAATTGTGAATTATCATTTTCATTGCCAATTACCTTAAGTTAAATTTAATACTGAAAGTAAAACGAAAGCACTGTGCTGAAATCAAAATGTCCTTTGACCACAGCCGTTACTTTATGTTTCATTCCTGTTCACAAACTGTAACCAAGTGATATTTTCACTTATGCTGGAGACCAGAAGGTGCTGATTATTTAGGGACATATTTGTGTTATGAGGTTATCGGTGGAGCCAATATTGGCTCCACCTGCTGCTAGCGCATTCCCGCAAAACTGAAGCCCCATCCCACCTTGGTAAATGGTCAGACTCTTCCATGTGTAGAACCATGGCGTTACTCAATCGATGGTCCCGTATATCTCTTTTGTGCTCTGTCAGGCGAGTTTTGAGCCCCCTTCCCGTCTCCCCTATGTATTTCTTATGACACCCCCCACATGGTATTTGGTAAACTACGCTGATCTTTTCTACGTTGCCGGTCGTTGGTTTACTTCTGATAATTTCGCCGCTCTTCTTTCCTGTGGTTATTACGACTCGTATTCCTGTCTTTTCCAGGTTTTGAGCAATGGTGTCGACCCCTCTGAAATTAGGGATGCTGATGTGCCTATCTGGCTTGTTCTGTTTCACTGTTTCACCTTGGTTTGATCTGCTCTTGGGTGGGCGTTTCCAAATTCCTTGTGCCTTCGGTTTGAAACCGAAACGTCAATAAAAGTAAGTACATTTTGTTATTTGTTGGCTCCACCGATAACCTCATAACACAGACCAGAAGGTGTCTATCTTATAAAAAAGGAAGAAGCTCAATTCCCGGTCCTACCCATTTCATCAAGCAATAGCACAACAATATCGTTCGTTTATACATATGCTTTACTTTGGTGTCACCTGTTTATCAACGTGTCAGCCGGTTGCGAGACTAAACATAATTGTGCTCCGTAACGAACATTTAAAGACTTCTGTGCAATTATCCACTGCAACTTGAACTGTCCATGACCCAAATATATACGAGGGGGAACTTCTTGAGTAATTCAACCGGAAAAGATCATTTGACATGCCATACCAGACGTAAGTCATAAATCATTTACCGATTTCCATACAAGTTGTATTAAAAAAAAAACAGACGTCCATTGACCAATTTATTCCGCATTTACAATAAGTCCCGTATTATTAATTAAAAAAAGAAATGTTATATATTTGATATCGCTTACTTTCACCAGGCATTGGTCACCTGTATCTTTCAACGGCATGGACATTGCACGCACGAAACGAATAACGTACAACGTTATGTATATTTCGATACGTTTATCCTACAATGCTGTTCTTCGTTCCGAAAAGTCAAGTAATAAGTTACCACCGAACAGCTCACGTTCATTGTCACCGTAAGCATAAAACCGTCGGTGGGAAAACTGACAGCTCTGTCCGGCCTTACATCAGCTCCCCGGGTATATATAGCCTCCTCGTCGGCCGGCGCTGATGCTTATCTGTGTTTACGGTTCCAGCTGGTCACCAATTACTGGAGCGAGGGAATACCGGCACTGATCGGCGCTCACTTCACAGCCCGTTTTTTTTTTTTTTTTAGTTCGCAAGGAACTGGTCTGCTTAGGCTTTTGGGATCGTCTTTTTTATTTGATCGCCAGAATGGTTGCAAACTTAGCTTGAAACATGCTTAGCGATTAAATCAAGGCAGTCCAATGTTGATATTTATACCACTGTTGTTTCAGCCTCTAGAAAATGCTAACCATGGATAAAACTTTAATGCCTTTTTATGATGTGTTAACCTTTAAAGTTCAAGTTCGCCTTTGTATACGGCTTACAATTGTTAAATGACTCTAGCTCAGACTCCAGCCTCCACCCAGCTGAGTTCGCGCTGTCTCGGGACCCTGACCTCATCTGGAAGCCGTGCGAACAGCGTAGATCCCGCTACCTGTACCTACTCGTACTTCCCCAGCGCGACCCGCCATAAACGGTGGCCACGGTCAGCGGTCAAAAGGCCTGTTCCCTCCGTCCCTCGTCCGCGCCATAGCCCCAGGCCGTGCTACTCACAGCAATAAAACCCAGCGTCTCGCATCACTTGGGACAGGGAGGGGAGGGGAGAGCGGGAGGAGGAGGGACCGAAGGGAGAGGGACAGGGTACACGACGTCAGCTCTTCACGGTTGAACGGCGTAGTGCTCCATGGACCGAGTTCACACCTCAAGGTTATGCGATGCAGATGCTAAGTTGCAAAAAAAGTTGCAAGATTATCGTTTAAGCATTCTTCTTTAATAGAAAAGCGCCTAATAGAAATATGAAGCCAACAAGTGCCTAACTCTTCTCTGTTTCTTCTATTGGGCATAGAAGAAGCAGAGAAGAGAGCGACCTAACTAACGAAAAATCCAGGCAAAAAAGTGAGTGACGAATAGGGAGGAGAAAGAAACAAAGAAAAGACGAAGAGATGGAGTGAGAGAGAGAGAGAGAGAGAGAGAGAGAGAGAGAGAGAGAGAGAGAGAGAGAGAGAGAGAGAGAGAGAGAGAGAGAGAGAGGCGTTTACTGGACTAGGAACGGTAATAAAAAAAGATGAGATGACACGAAGTTCACAGGTCACGACGAAGCGAGACATTCAATCCATATCCATGAATACCTAAAAGAGTGTCTAGGTACAAAAGTTGAAGCTGTCGAACCGTGTCCATTTCCATACAACACGGCGACCTCCCCGGCAATTCAGTGTAACCTCGTCTTAACCGTATAATGAACGTCAGTAACAATCCCAAGAAATAGCGGATCGCCGCAGTAAGAACAAACGTAAAAGCTCAGGATAATACATTCAGACGTTCCCAGTTTTCCGTCTCCGAGGCAACTGCTATGCAAATGTCCAATTCTGTGCTGGTCGGGTCGCCGGCCTTTCTGTTCTGAGAGCTGGTAAAGCCCACATGCAAATGAAACATTATACAGCCATGAGCTGGAGTATTTCGTTTGAGCTGGTGAGGAGGTCGAAGCATTGGACGGTATTCAATGTCCCGAGTTAGCAGCTCACGGCTGACCCCGCGGGCAGTGTCGTCGCCTGCTGTTCAAGGTCGAGTGAGGTCAGCGGTAGTGCGGTGACTCGTACCGGCGAGGTGACCTCCATGCAGATGTGCTCTGCAGATCGGATCGGCTGCTCGAGTGTTTAATATCTCCGGCATTCAATGTTCCGGTCGGATTAGCAAACGTTTATAGCTGTATTTTCGTCGTAAATGGGATATAAGCCGGCTGCTTTGTCTGTGAGAGCCTTTGTTAAAAACAAGTGGCCGGAAAGTTGGTATAATTTGGGATGTTCGATATAGTGCGAAAGATAATTCTAAAAAAGGTTGCTTATGCAACTTTGGCCAGAAAGCGCTAAAAATTGCTATACCAACGTGCTATGAAAGTTGGAAGATAGTTGGCATCCTTATGCGAAAGGAAACACCCTTGGAATAATGTTGCATAGTGTGACTTCCCAACCGTTGCCATGCAGCCATTAGCTCGTGTTCGTGGCGTAGCCTTCTGTACTCACTCGATCATTCTTTCCAGGAAGTCGACACCGATGGTTTTCTTGTACTCCTTGGTGAAGGTGCCGCGGCAGTAGCGCTGGATCATGCTCGACTTGCCCACGGCGCCGTTCCCCACGATCACAACCTGACGGCACAAGAGGGGTGGTGATTAGCAATTGACAGCAACTCAGCACCAAAGAGCATCCTTAAAGTCAAAAGGGTCGACCTTTTTCAATCTTCTAAATAAGCCATTCTAAGCTTTTATATATACTATGTTTTGCAAGTCTGGCCGCGAATCGAGACATCTTGACCGGGGCCTAAACGAATCGCTCAATTTCCGTAAAAAGTTCAGGGTATGGGCTCCCGGGGGCGATCTACCTGATGGCATCGGTCGCTACTCGCTTAAAACCTCGTGGCACGTGGCACGTGCGATTCCATTTTCCCCATGTTAAGTCAATGGGGGTTTGGGGCACTTTTTGCGCGATCGGGAATAGCGGAAAAAATCGCGGATCAAGGTATGGTATGTAAGGGTATTAATCATATGTAATCAATTAATCATAAGGGTATCAATCAAGGTATGTAATCATATTGATCGGTCTATGGGAGACTATTTAATTCTGATATGGACTGGACCGTAGAGAAACGTGCTGGCAATCTTGTAAGTTCCAAGTACTAAGGAAGTACAGACAAGGTGGTCGAAGATAAATCATTTTATTGCAATCCAGGAAGGATGAAGCGAATGGCCTCCCTATACATGCTGAACAACAATGACCCTTGCCACATAACAGCAACCACTGTCATTTACCTCGCTGTGTGCACGTCATTTCGTTCCTACAAGGAACATCAAATCATTGTGTTGAAATCTGCGCGAACACTAGGTGTTCGGTCAGACACGATTAGTCATTGAGACCCACCAAGGCGAAACGTAGGGGAGAGTGGGGTAAGATGCCCAGGGTGGGAAAGACGCCCCACCCCCTCTAGCGGCGAAACAAAGAATCGAACCTGGAAATTTATGTTCTTAGCGTAAAGCGGAAGCCTGCCTTGTTGACTGCACAAAAATTTGCGAAGCTCAGTTGGGCAACGGCTGGCTGGACGTGATTGCATGTTTTTTATTTGCTGCTTTCAAAAAATATTTTGGTGTCAAAACATTGTAAATATCAAAGAAGGTAGATAATTTTTGAGTCCCTTGCTATAGTCGTGATACATTAACATGCGTGTACTGTGTCCTGAACAGTTTGTTTCAGGGTGTAGTTTTATGGCTAACAAATTGTACTGATTTAATGTTGCTTCGGTACCTTGGGGTAAGATGCCCCCTGTCCTGATGGGGAAAGACGCCCCCCCCCCAAATCCGTAGACTGTCCTTCAAGCAGCCCGTCAAATCATTTATTACATACTTGTGATGAGAGACAAAAGCCGATCTGGGACTATTGAGAGTCCAGTACGGTTGGGTGCTCCCCATGCCGGTCTCTCGGCACACACAGCGACTTTTTGGGCGGCATCTGACTCTGAGAGCCCTCACGACGGCCTCTGTGGGCCCCATTATTGGCTCCAGGGCCCCTCACGACATCCTTTGAGGGCTCCCACGTTGGCTCCACGGGCCGCGCTGGCATCTGAGGTCCCCACGATGGGTTCGAGGGCCCTCAAGCATCATGAAGACCTATAAGGGCCCCACAGTGGTCTCCGAACGCCACCACGGAGGCTTGTTTGGCCGCGCTGGACTATGATGGCCCTAACGATGACCTCTGAAGCCCCTTACGACTACTTTTGAGGGCCCTTACGATGACGTTTGGTGTCTACTGCAGTCTCGAAGGGACTACTGATTCGTTCAGGCGATTCACGTGCCCATTTATGCCACTTATAGTGCAGGGGGCATCTTCCCCAACGCCAGGGGGCGTCTTTCCCACCCTGTGGGGTAAGATGCCCCCTTTCACTTCTTCAGGAAAATGCTTAATAGCAAAAAAAGTTATCATATTTCAGGCACGAAAGTGTGATATTTTTGGAGAAAAATGATGTCGGCTTCCGTTGAAACTCCAAGTTTTTGCTTTCCGATCGTCATTTTCGAATAATATATGACAAAGTAAAACCCTGGGCATCTTTCCCCACTCTCCCCTACAGACTTCGACTAATCCCATGTAGCCATCTGTATGGATGATCACCACATTCATTTATAACACTTAACCCCGAGCGATAATCAATATAACAGCAGAACGCTATAACCACTTTCGCCCTGAGTCTGACACCCCGACTGGCACCTCCCCCCTCCCCCTACCCCTGTCCGTCGGGCTGGGGTCGCCGACCTCAGCATATACCGCCCGAGGCGGGCCGGCGCGGCGCCTCAGCCGATCATCCCGGCCGCCTCGAACCAGGCGCGGATACAAGGGGGGGGGCCATGGGGGCCATGGCCCCCCCTTGGCCGATTTTTTTCAAAAATAAAATAAAAAGTTAAAAAGCTGAAAAGGGGGCCTCCTGAAAATAAAGTGGCCGAAATCCGATGAGTTTTTTTTTAACCTACCCACTTAGTTATTTCTTAGAAGACTAGCTGAGAAGACTTCTTTGTTAGAAGATTGGTAAAGCTTTTCATAACTTGGAGGTCTCTTATACTCACAGAGATGACCACTTTTACAGGGCCTCCTAACCTGCATAGAGGGCCTCCAAGCCTGCACAGATGTCCTAACAAACACAAAATCTCTTAGCCTACACAGAGGCCTCCACTCGCATCCGAACAAAGGGCCTCCTAGCCAACACAGAGGGCCTCCTAACTCACACAGAAGGTCTCCTATCCTGCACAGAGGGACTCCAAGCCTGCACAGATATCCTCTTCGCCAACACAGGACCTCTTAATCTCCACAGAGGGCCTCCACTCGCATCTACACAAAGGGTCTCCAAGTCTGTACTGAGGGCCTGCGCTCGCATCTGCACAGAGGGCCTCCTAGCTATCACAGAGGGCTTCCTAGTTCACATACAAGGCCTCCTAGCAGGGGCGGATCCAGGGGGGCGATAGGGACTATAGCGCCCCCCCGGGCGACTTTCTCATTTTCTTTTTTTTTTTGCAAAAAAAGCATGATAGGGGGCCCCCAAAAATAAAGTGGACGAAATCCAGGCTTAAACTTTTGGGGGTAGGTAGGGCCCCCATCGATGGGGGGCCCCCGATTCGGAATAGCCCCTCCCTTGGCAAAATGCTGGATCCGCCCCTGCCTCGAACAGGCAGCAGTTTTTGTGCTGCGCCATCGGTAGGGATTCGACAGGAGGCGATATAAACAGATGTGCTGGCCAGTGCACCGGCTGGGCGCGGGCATTCCGGCCACCTGGCCATCGAGATCGGGCGACCATGACCGATCACATGACAGGAGTAGCGAGAAGAGGCTAGACCATCGGAGGCTCGTGGAAACGGCGGAAAATAGATGGGAGGCTGAAGTGGGATATCCGTCGGGTTAAACACAACGAACATTTGTCTCAAGCAAACTTATGGGAATATATCAGTTCTTTAATAATGATTGATCATCTGTTTGGAACATTTACCCAGAACACAAAGGCTATTAGTCTGCATCTACATTACGGCAAAAATGCAGGCATTTTAAGGCTATTAGTCTGCATCTACATTACGGCAAAAAATGCAGGCATTTTCAAGTCATGTCCCGGATTGAAAACGGATGAATGAAACCAAATGACCAATGGCCATTAACTAAACACCCATTTCTACATTCTAATACATTCTAAATCGCATCGATCTAACACCTATCACTCCTCTCATTTGTCAACTCATCGCTTCAAGGGCTGGGGAGTGTGACGGTCATTTTCCACCACCAGCGCCTTTTCATTTCGTCCAACACCTCCTCCGTTCAGCGGTACCTCTTTCTGCGACCTCTGGCTCTTTTCACAGTCGCTGCCTCTTCTGACAGCCCCCGGCTGGCCGTTCGCGGGGCCGTTATGCATCAGCGCACGCTCCGACATCTCCGCCCATCCCGTGGTCATTCAGGCGAGACGGCCGCGCGCGACCCCTGGCTCCTCCCGAGGAGCGGCCGCCGACTCCTGACTCCGGCGCGCGGCGCGGACTCTCCTGACTCCGGCGGCGCCCCGGCGCCCCGGGCGTCCGGGCGTCGGGAGCAGTGAACTGGCCGGCTGACGCCGCTGCGCGGCCGGGCGTCGGGTTGCACCGCGCCCACTGCACGGAGCCAGCCGTGCGGAACGGACACGGCGCCTGCAGAGGTCACTGCCGAGGCCGGTCACTTCCCTGTCTCTCTGTTGAAACTCACCAACTCAGCCGGATGAGCCCGTGAGAGGGGGAGGGCGAGGAGATGACCGAGACTGCACCACGGGGATTGGGCCGGAGGGAGCTATGCACGCGGTTACAAGGATGGCCTTTGGTGATGGTTTATGGTCAATAAAATGATGCAAGGCGTTGAGAATCTGCTTCTTTGCAACACCTAATGCAAGGAAAGTGTTTCTTATAATACGGGGATAACACAAGTTTTAATGTCAAGCCAATTATTCACTAAAAAGTTGTTCAACAAAGCAGAGAATAACTTTCCCTTTAGCACCGTGTTATGAATCATATATCAGCAGCACAGTTCTGTAGAAACCATTCAGGAAGTGCTTACACGCGTGACGCGAATTTAGTCACTAGTTCCAACTTCCAACCACTTTCATTCGTGGCTTCAGAACAAACATTTTTGATTGTTCTTACGGAATTTATTTATATTTGTCTCTTTCATGGAAGGCGAAAGCATTGCTTTCTTTAGTCAAAACCTGCGCCTAGCATACCGTTATAAAGGATAGATCGACGTGATTTGACATCACCGGTCTTATCTATGCATGATGGACACGACCACCACGACTTTCTTATGGATGGTGGCTTTCAGACACTCTCTGAATCTGATGAGTGAGATCCGCGCTTTGGACGCCCTATGGCCGGTGCGGCGGGGTGCCGTGGTGACTTCAAGGCATGCTTGCCAAGCATCGGATAACGAAGCAGTAGAATCAAATCTTTCATACTGGGAAGACGTGTGCACGGTTTTTTGGCATATCCTCACGCTGAATTAAGGATTTGATCTCTGTTACGCTGTCCATTGTCACTGCGTGGTTTCACTGCCCATCGGATAAAGTTGACTTGAAGAGAGTGTTGTCACAGGTCAGGCATTCGTTCGC